CCATGCCTGGACCCCTCCCTTTGCCCCCAAACATCCACATGGCTGCAGCCTCTGTGGAGGCTGGAGCATTCCCTCCAGTGCCATTGGGTTGGTGGCCCTTGGGGACAGAGGGGTGGCACCCAGTGGGGGCTGCTCAGCGCCACCCTGGAGCCCTGGGGAAGGACAGGATGGGGTGGGATGGGATGGGATGGGATGGGATGGGACGGGATGGGATGGAATGAGGTGGGATGGGGTGGGACACAGTGGCCCTGCAGCCCCCACGGAAGCAGTGCCACCTCTGCCTTGCAGCGCAACCATGAGCGCGGGCTCGATTGAGCAGGAGCCGTCGCGCAAGCTGGGCTGCTGCGGGGTGCCCCTCATCACCGAGGACATGCAGTCCCTGGCCATCCGCACCCTCTCGGGCACCGACATCACCAAGCACTATGACCTCATCCGCGAGCTCGGCAAGGGCACCTACGGCAAGGTGGACCTGGTGTCCCACAAAAGCACAGGTGAGGCCAGCGGGGCGTGTGCCGGGAGCGGGGTGCCGGCTCTGTCCCAGCCGAGGGCTCACTCCTGTCCCCTGCCCTCCACAGGCACCAAGATGGCCCTGAAGTTCGTCAACAAGAGCAAGACGAAGCTGAAGAACTTCCTGCGGGAATTCAGCATCACCAACACGCTCTCCTCCAGCCCCTTCATCATCAAGGTCTTTGACGTGGTCTTCGAGACCGAGGACTGCTACGTCTTCGCTCAGGAGTACGCCCCCGGCGGGGACCTCTTTGACATCATCCCGCCCCAGGTGGGACCCTGGCACCTCCCATGGGAGCCTCTGTGGGATGTGGGGGCTCAGGGGGTGCTGAGCAAAGCTGCCCCTGTGCTTTGTGCCCGTGTGGGAGGGTGCAGGTGCAGGGACTAGGCATCCCCATCTAGGCTGGGCTTGACCACAAGCACCTAAATAAGTGTGGGACCCATCACCCATCCTCTGGGTGGCCTAAGATCCATCACCCATCCCTAGGATGGCCTGAGACCCATCTCCTGGGGAAGCTGTGGCTGCCCCTGATTCCATGGAATTTTCCAGAGCCACGCTGGATGGGGCTTGGAGAAACGTGGGCTAGTGGAAGCTGTCCCTGCCCAGGGCAGGGGGTGGAACTGGATGATCCTTAAGGTCCCTTCCAACCCAAACCTTCCTGTGGGGACCCTGAGACCCATCACCCATCTCTTGGGTGGCCCAGGACCCACCACCATCCCCTGCCTCAGAGCACCCAGATAAAAGCACCCACGACCAGGTGGGTGCCCAGGCTGGGCGGGTCCCCCCAGGGCTGACGCCGTGTCCCCCCGCAGGTGGGGCTCCCCGAGGAGCTGGTGAAGCGCTGCGTGCAGCAGCTGGGCCTGGCCCTCGACTACATGCACAGCAAGAGCCTGGTGCACCGGGACATCAAACCGGAGAACGTGCTGCTCTTCGACCGCGACTGCCGCCGCGTCAAACTGGCCGACTTCGGCATGACCCGCAAGGTGGGCTGCCGGGTCAAGCGCATCAGCGGCACCATCCCCTACACGGCGCCCGAGGTGTGCCAGGCCGGCCGGGCCGAGGGCTTCGCCGTGGACACCAGCATCGACGTCTGGGCTTTCGGGGTGCTCATCTTCTGCGTGCTCACCGGGAACTTCCCCTGGGAGGCGGCGGTGGCGTCCGACGCCTTCTTCGAGGAGTTCGTGCGGTGGCAGAAGGGGCGGCTGGCGGGGCTGCCCTCGCAGTGGCGGCGGTTCACGGACAGCGCCCTGCGCATGTTCCAGCGCCTGCTGGCCCTCGACCCCGAGAAGCGCTGCCCCGTCAAGGAGGTTTTCTACTTCATCAAGTGCGACCTCATGGCCGAGGTGCGGTGCCGGCCCTCGTACCGCTCCCGCAAGCACGCCCGGGACAAGCTCCCAGCTGGGCCGCACTGCCACGAGGCCAGCGGCTCCTGCACGCCCGCCCCGCTCAAGAGGACCGTCCTGACCGAGGGCAGCGGAGCGCGCGGCCCCGAGCCCGGCGCCGCCGCCCCGGGCCCGGCCAGCAGGACAGACGGACGGCAGGACAAGGGCAAGGGGCAGATGGTGCTGGCCACAGCAATAGAGATCTGCGTGTGACGGTGGCGGCTGGCGGCTGCGCGACCCGCCCCGTCCCCCGCCCGGGACTGGGATGGGGGAGCACATCGTGGTGGCGGCGGCACGAGCCGGGCCCGGGCTCTGGGTTTCCCAAAGGAAAAAAAAAAAGGAAAAGAAACACAATGGAAGAGGAAAGGACAGAACTGTTAGCGCTCTGTAGCGCCGCGGATGCCGATCCCCCGCCCCGCCTGGGCGAGGCCGGTGGCCGGAGCCCGGCCGAGGGCAGCGCTCACTGCTGGGGAGGCTGGGGGCACCCACAGCCCTGCCACGGCTGTGCTGCCCCTCCAAGGCTCCCCGGGGGGCGTGGGGAGGGGTCTCCCAGTGCGGGGAGGAAGAGTCGGGGCAGCGGGCAGTGGGTGACCCACCGGCTCTGCCCCACCCCGTGCTCGACCCCGCCGGGGAGCGGGAAGGCCGATGACCCTGCACCGTGGAGGAGGCCTTTGGGGAGGTGTGGGTGGGTGGGGATTTGCCCTCTTCCACCAGTCCCTGTGCACTGCCGGGGACTGGGAGGGCATGGGGAGGTGGGTGACGGGGAGCCGGGGGGCTGCCAGCAGCCCCGGACCCCCGGCAGCCCCGGCTGCCTCCCTGCCGTGGGAGGTGCTGGCAGCCATTGATGTAGCAAGTGTCCCTGTCTGTGTGTCATTGTGTGTCCCAGCCACTGCCCCCGGCAGCCCCTGTCCCCTGCCCTGCCCCACAGGGCTCAGGCCCTGCCGGAGGGCCGGGTCCCCTCTGGCCGGTGCCGGCCACCCAGCAGGGCTGGCCGTGCCCGCAGCCCCTCTGCAGACCCTTTGTACCCAGGCACTGCAGGAGGTGGCAGCGGGGCGCCCCAGGCTGCCCTGCACAGCGGGGAGGGAGCTCCGAGCGGCCCCCGCGGGCCCGCCTGCTTCTCTGTGCTGTCCCCATCACCCCTCCTTGCTGTCACCCCTTCCCAAACCTGTCACCCTGCCCTGGGGCTGGCGGGGAAGCGGCAGCGGGCCAGACCCTGCCGGGGCTGGCTGCGGCGAGGCAGGGCGTGGTGGAGCAGCCACTGGTGGCCCCTTCGTGACAAGGTCCTGGGGTGTGCGTGGAGGTCACACCTTCCCTCCTGGATTTGGGCACCCAGCAGAGCGGGGAAGCTGTGGGGGCACCCCAAGAGCACCCTGCTGTGGTTCGGGCTTCCCTCCCACGGGGCGGGTGCCGTGGGGCAGCGCCGGTGCCCCAATTCCCCACAAAGGGCTATAACGCTTTCCAGCAGCAGCAGCAGCAGCAGTTTACAGAGCAGGGGCCGCCCCCGCCCCCGCCGTGCCCCGTCCCCGGCAGCCCCGGGCCCGGCGTTAGACGTAGCATTGCCCCACGTAGAGAGCTAGGCACCGGTTTTACTCCTCTTTGCCTTAGGTCCCTCGATGTCCTCGATCTTTCGTGCAATAATGTAGATAAGGGATCCCGGCCGCCCGGGAGGGCTCGGTGGCGCCGCCCGGGCTGTGTCCCCGGGGCTGCCCGGTGTGATTTCTGTCCCCGTCGAGGTCGCTGTGTCCGTAGGTTGTCAGGTTTTTATTTCCAGTTCCCTCAGCTGTCGGGTTTCGGACCTTCTTCCCGTAGGAGAGGCTGTAGTGTCACAGACGTTACCTCAGTTTGTCACTGTTGAAAAGGATTTAAAAAAACCACAACTGAAACCATAAAAAATGACAAAATACATAGTTATAAAAGCAACAAAAAATTTCTCAATGGCGGTGAAGATTTTTTTTTCAATTATTGACTAATATGATGCTGCCCGTGCGGGGTGGGGGCACGGCCTGTGCCCTGCCGTGGCCTCAGCAGTGGCTGTCCCTCCACTTCCACCCTGTCACCACGGCCACCCGGGCAGGGAGGGCAGGGATGTGGGAGCAGCACCTGGGGGTGGGGGGCACCCGGCAGCCCTCGGTGCAGCCCCCACAAACAGCCAGGGCTGCCGGGTGCCAATTGTATTCCAGCCACGTCCGCAGGCTAATTTCAATTTCCTGGTAATTATGCAAATGAATGTGGATTTAATTAAGGGCAGATTTCATTAAAGTCTTCTTGGGGAAATGAGAACGGGGTGGGGGAGAGCGAGGAGGAGGGGGCGGCGGCAGGGAAGCAGAGATGAAGGCAGCGCCTGCCCCGGAAGATGAACGGGCCCAGGGGATGCGGAGGGGCCGGCCGGGATCCTTGGGGAGCGGGGAGGAGGCCGGGGCTGTGGGCACGGCTGGGGCAGGGCCGGGGATGGATCCTCGGCGCATCCCCAGCGCCGCTCCGGGCACCGGGCAGCGGGTCCTGCCCATCCCTGCTCCAGCAGCGGCGGCTCCCGGCTCCTTCCCTCCCCCAGGGCACGGAAAGCATCGCTCTGACACGTGATTCGTATTTTTCTGTTCCCCGGCTAAAAATACAGATTTGGCCACGCCGAGAGGTTTAGGAAATCAATGTCATTGTCACCAGGCGCTGGCTGGCAGGACTCTCCCCTCCGCAGACAAGAAAGGGATCGCTGCCATTTGACGTCTCGGAGCTGCCTTTAATCCAAAGGGAAACGGGGCTAATTTTATCCCGGCAAGGTCGGGGTGCTGCGAGCCCGGCGGGGCAGGAGCTGCTTGTCTCCAGGCAAAAGCTCCAGCCACAGAAAACGGAGCTAAAGTTTGCCAGGGCACATCCTGCACGGCAGAGGTGTCACCTCCCCGGCAGAGCGCTGGCTGGCAGGACTGAGGTGTCACCTCCCCGGCAGAGGTGTCACCTGCCCGCTTTGGCCGGGAGCACGGCACGGTCCGGGGCACGGCCCTGACCTTGGGCAGGGATGAGCAACACGATCCCTGCTCTGAAAGGAAAACAATCCTCCATTCGGGCAGGTCCCGGAGGAGCGGAGGGAAGGGGATGGGGCGGCAGGTGTGGAATGGTGTGGGTGCAGCATCCCGTAAAACCAGATCCCTCGGAGCGGGGAAGGCCAGGAAGGCCCGGCTCAGCTGCTGGTCCCGCCTCGGATTTCATCCACCCCTCGATTCCGGAGCTGCATTGTGCCCGGTTTTCCTCACAGACACTTTGTGAGGCACTGCAGCCCCAGCTAAAACATTGGGGGTTGGGAGTAAAAATAACCGGGAATGATCCGCTCCTTGGGAGCACAGCGATCAACGCCAAGCTGGCACTGCACAAGTCCCACCCCAATCGCAAACAAGCCCTTTAAAAGGTAATATTTTGCCACTGGGATGGTGCTTCGGCTGGCTGCTGACTCAGGAGGGGCCGTGGGATGAGGAGGGAGCTCCCACGCATCCCGGGCAGGCAGGGTCCGGGCTCGGGGACACGGGGGGCCGCCAGCCCGGCGTGGGGAGCGTCCGCGAGCCGCGCTCCTCGGGCTGATCCGCTTTCCAAAACTTCCAAAAATAGCGGCGGCCCGGCGCTGGAACGGGCGTGGGGAGGAAGTGTGACTCATGTGCCACCCGGCGCCCCGGCGGAACCGGGCGGGCGGCCGGGCAGGAATGCGGGAATGCGGGAATGCGGGAATGCGGCGGGAGGGGAGCGGCCACCGGGCACCCCGAGGCTCTTCCTGTGGCAGCAGATGCTCGCAGAGGGGACGCAGCTCGGGCTCGTCCCTGCCTGTCCTTCCCGCGGGGACCCGCTGCTGTCTGCGGTTCCAGCTGCCAGGGATGATGGACAGATGTCAGTCAGGGCCGAGACAGACAGCAAAAACTGTCCCGAGGTGGGGAAAAACGCAGCCTGTGCTGCCTGGCAAGGCTCAGCAGGCTGGGAGGGAGAGGTGACCTTGTGTGATGGCCCTGGCACCTTTGGGAGCCGGGAGAGCAGAGCTGGCTGCTCCTCCAGCCCAGCCCAGCTCCCAGCACAGCCGGGAGCAGCCCTGGAGCATCCCAGGGGAGCGGCTGGTGGTGGCCGGGCCCTGCCGGGGGTGCTGCCCTTGCTGCAGCCTCGGCGCCCGGGGATCTGGGCTCGGGGCCGAGGGGAGCAGGAAATGCCGTTTTCCCCCCCAAAGGTGTTTCCCCGTGGCACAGGCAGTGTTTTCAGCGGGGTCTTTGGCTGAGGGAGGGGCGGGGTGCCAGCTTTGGGAGGAGGGGGTTGAGGGCAGGTTTGGGTGCGGGAGGGGCAGGGCTCAGAGGGGGCTGGGAGCGCCCCCAGCCCTGAGCACCCAGCAGGGTGGGCTGCGGGATCCAGCTCGCAGGCCTCCCACGTTGCCATGGCAACTGCAGCATCCCAGCTTGGCAGGGATGGGAAATCTCCTCCATCCCATCAGCGCCTCGCCCGGCCCTGGCTCTGGCTCTGGCACAGGCAGCATCCCAAACCCACGGAGGAGCACGAGGTGCAATTCCTGCTGGCTCTGAGGGCTCCTCCTTCTGCACAGCCCTCCCAGAGCCACACGGCTGCCAGGCCAGGGGCAGGAGGGATTTCTGCTTTTCAGATGTGGATCTTCCCATTCCAGACCTTTCCACCTGCTCTGGATTTGTGGGGTCCTGGCAAGCAGAGCATCCATCCCCCAGGCTGCCCCCACACCTTCCTGTCTTCTCTGGGGGGGACACAGTGGGCAGTGGGCTCCCAGATCCTGGACCCTGCTCCCCCGGCTGGCCCAGATTTGGGGGCAGCAGAGCCAGGGGTGTCTCTGGGCTGGTGTTACCCCATTAATCAGAGCATCCTCATCATTGCTCTCTGCAGCCTCCCAACCCTTCAGCTCTCAGCCCGGAGAGATCCCGAGCTAATTCCTCGCTGACAGCAGTGGCACAGGGCTGGGGAGAAGCTTAGCTCCTCTCAGAGGCTGCTGCACCTCCACAAAAGTCGCATTTGAAGAGCATTAATACGAGATTAATCGAGGTTTTAATAAACAGCGAGTGGAGCGCTAATGGAGCCCAACTTGTAAGCCATGTGTAACACCCCGGGGGCTTAAAGTCATCCAGAACACGGCTGGAACACGCTGAAAGGGGATGTTAATCACCTTGAAGCCCTGAAGACACCGCAGGGGAAGGGAATCTTAGGGGGAAGGCTGCAGGTGAGCCTGGGCACGACCTCACCCCTCCCACTGCTTCAGGATATGGGGATTTACAAGAGTTCCCCACCGCAGCCCTGGCACGAAGGCAGGCAGAGGAATTTGGGACACCTGAGTGCCCCGGGGCTGGGGCCACAACGAAGCAAGGGCAGTTTACAAGGGAGGGCCAGATCTGCCCTGTCCATTCCCAGTCACGAAGCAGGGGGTGGGAACTGGGGACCACTGGGAGGGGGCAAACCCCGCAGCTGGCCCCGGGTCCCTGTGCTGAGGCTACCCCACCCTCCGGGCAGGAGCCCAGCAGCCCCTCCCTGGCTGAGGCTGCTCCCACGTCTGATAATCCCAGACAGGGATTTCAGTTCCCTGCATCCCAAGGGAGGCCCAGCTCCCTCAGCCTCACCCCAGTCTGTGGCACCTCTGCAGCCACTCGAGGGCCAGGCCTGGCTTGAGGAGCAGTGCCAGAAGCCATTTCAAGGACCAAGGTCTGGTTCCAAAGCCCCCTGGACCCTGTGAGCGTGGCTGGCTCTGCAGAGCTCCTGGGTCACGTCTGCCCCACAAGGCTGGCCAGGATAACTGGGGTGTGCCAGGCTGCCTGCCCTGTGGGCTGCACGTGGCCTCTGGCGGGGGCTGTGTGGGAGCCCAGCAGCTCAGCATGGGTGGGCTGTGGTGCTTTAGTGTCAGGAGCTTCTCGGGGTGTTCAGTTTGCTCCAGAGCACCTCGATCACTCCCCTGTGTTTGGATAGCCCCCTGTGGGGAAGGAGCAGCTCTGCAGGACCCCAGGGCTGACAGCAGCCAGGATTCTCTGTCAGGAGCTGAACACCATGCAGCTTCCCAAGGAGGCTGGCTCCTGGGGAAGGACAGGCCTGGGGACCAGCCCAACAATCCCACTTGTGTCACAGTGACCTCCCTGCAGGACGAGGCCTCCACCCCGAGTCACTGCCCAGCTTCCCCACTCCTGGGAGCCCCTTGCTGCCCCACAGCCCTCAGGGGCAGTCACTGGCCAGTCTGCTGTGAGAGGGAGTCAGGAACCACCAGCTCAGGCTCTTCTGCCACAGCTCAGGAGAGGAGGAGCCCCACAGCAGTCACCCCTCAGAGCTGTGGCTGTTATGGGCTCTGGAGCCCCATGAGCTCCTGTGAGCTCTGGGAGTTCCTGGGAGCCAGAAGCACTCTCCAGTCTCCAAGCAGTGGCTGCCAGCAGAGGCAGAGGAGCAGGGACATCCTACCCCACCCTGTTCCCTCCTTCCTTCTGCCATTTGAAGTCTCCCAGGTAGGTCAGCTGGTACATCACAGCACCCAGATCACAATTCCAGAACAGTTCTGCTTGGATGAGACCATTGGGGCTCACCTGGTCCCACCCTGCTCCAGCAGGGTCCCCCAGAGCACGTGCTCAGGACTGTGGACAGATGGCTCTAGAATATCTCCAGGGAAGGAGCCTCGAGAGCCCCTTGGGCCATGCTCGGTCACTGGAAGTTCTTCCCCATGTTGGTGGTTTAGTGGGAATGCTCAGAGCTTGGCCTCGCTGATCTTGGAGGTCTTTTCCATCCCTAATGATTCCATGTCCAAATGGAACTGCTGGGATCAGTTCCTGCCCATTGCTGGGCCCTGAGCAGAGCCTGGGCCCTGCCCTGCCCCTCCCTGCACCCAGGGACACCCAGGGACACCCAGGGACAGCCAGGGACAGCCAGGGACAGCCAGGGACAGCCAGGGCTGAGGCCCTCTCAGCTGGGGCTCCTCTCCAGGCTGAGCAGCCCCAGCTCCCTCAGCCTTTCCTCACAAGGAGGTGCTCCAGACCCCTCACCATTCTTTTGGCCAAACCAGTCACAAACAGGCCCATTGGAGCCACCTGGGGGGCTTGAGCACCTGCAGCATCTTGGTGATCTTGCTGGACACACGTTTTGATCTTCAGAATCACCTCTGAAAGCTCACAAAGGTGTCAGGAGGCTCCTGATGGCCAGGAAATGGCCAACATCCCACAGGGGTGCAAGGAGGAGACTCCAGGGGTCAGATCCATTGCTTCACCGGGCAGAGCAGCCAAGCTCAGCCTCAGGACAGGGTTCAGCAAAGCCCCAGCTCAGGCTTAAACATCCCCACAGGGCTGGATAGATGGATGATGGATGGATGATGGATGGATGATGGATGGATGGATGGATGGATGGATGGATGGATGGATGGATGGACGCATGGATGGATGACAGATGGATGATGGATGATGGATGGATGGATGGATGATGGATGGATGGATGATGGATGGATGATGGATGGATGGATGATGGATGATGGATGGATGGATGGATGATGGATGGATGGATGGATGGATGGATGGATGATGGATGGATGGATGGATGGATGGATGATGGATGGATGGATGGATGGATGGATGGATGGAGGGATGGATGGATGGTGGATGGATGGATGGATGGAGGGATGGAGACAGACAGGCCCTCCATCCCCTCAGCTGAGTTCCCCAGGAGTTTTTGTAGGCCCAGCAGCCCCAGTTGACCCCACGCCGTGTGAAACTGTCCTGGCAGAGCTTCTGCCTCGGTTGACTGGATCAAACTGGTCACTTTTGGGGACGGGCAGAGGTGTTGCTGCTGGGCCATGGCCGTGGCCATGCCAGGAGGGCCCAGAGAAGGCACAGCCAGCCCCGGTCTCCTGTGTGACCCAGTTAGAGGCTGCAGTGAGCTCCTGTGCCTGCTCTGGCTGAGCATCCCCTCCCTGGGTTAATTCCCCGCAGTGACTCATCCCCTTTGTCACACAAAGCGCCCTTTGTGCTCCTCCAGCCCGGCCAGGGGAGTGCCAGGGACCGATTAATCAGCAGCTCCTGCTGCCACAAGCCTGGGGATGGTGCCCTGGGAAGGGGGAGGTCAGGGACTGGGGAAGGGCCACTGCCTGTCCCATGGGACAGAACTGGGACTGGAGCCCAGGTCCTGGTCCCACCCCAGGACACAGGGGTGAGGCAAGGACCAGCCACCACCCTGTGACATCACAGGCATGGAAGGAGAGTTGGGCTGGGTGTGAAGGGACCTCAAAGATCACCCAAATCCCCTGCCATGGGCAGGGACACCTTCCACTGTCCCAGGCTGCTCCAAGCCCTGCCCAGCCTGGCCTTGGGCACTGCCAGGGATCCAGGGGCAGCCACAGCTGCTCTGGGCACCCTGTGCCAGGGCCTGCCCACCCTCACAGGGAACAATTCCTGCCCAAGATCCCATCCAGCCCTGCCCTCTGGCAGTGGGAGCCATTCCCTGTGTCCTGTCCCTCCATGCCTTGTCCCCAGTCCCTCTGCAGCTCTCCTGGAGCCCTTTAGGCCCTGGCAGGGGCTCTGAGGTGTCCCTGGAGATCAGCAGTGGCTCTTGGCCAAGAGAGGTGCTTTTGGCTCTGTCAGCCAGAGCAAGGCAGATATTTGTGGCCATGGGAGGTGCACGGCACAGGATGATCGAGTTTGGTGAGTCTGGGTGATCCAAGGAGAGCTCCAGCAGATCCAACAACTCCTCCTGCTTCCCGAGCCAGCCATGGGCCTCAGGAGGTGAAACCCAAGTGCCCAATTTCGAGTTTGCTGGCAGGGCAGCAAATCCTGCTGGCTGTCATTCCTGGTGGCTCTGGGAGGTGACACAGGACATTCCCAGGGCTCAGCAGGGCTCATGGGCACAGGGCTGAAGCAGAACCATTTTTGGGGTGAAAGAGTCAAGTTTGGCCAGGCTGAGAGTGCTGAGCAGCCGACGTGGCTGCAGAGGTCAGCAGAGCTGGCACCCAGCTCCCCCAGCAGTGCCTGGGCGCTGGCCCTGGTCACAGCCAGGCAGAGGAGGGCACGGCCAGGCTGTGCCCAGTGGGGACGAGCTGCTCCTGCAGCTCCTGCCAGCTCTGCCCCTGCCCTGCTCAGGCTGGCAAGGGCAGTGGTCTGGTCCCCTCGATCACCTGTTGGGGTGTCAGTGTCCCCTGGACAGCCAGGCAGAATTACCAGGGTGCTAATTAATTAAATCCGTCCTCAGCACAGGGGAGCTACAAAGCCACAGCAGGAGTGAGGCTCTGCCTGTGCCCTGGACAGGGGAGAGCATCCAGCAGCTGCACATTCCTGGGACACCAATCCTTCCCGAGGAGGGACAAAGGGCTCCCCTGAGGCTCCCAGTGGTGAATGAACACAATGTGCCACCCCGGGGCACAGCAGGAGCTGCTCTGCCCCAGCACCCGCCCCTAAAGAGAGCTGGGATTGCAGCAGCAGGCACTGTGTTCCCATTCTGGCCACGGCAGGACCCGAAGGGGTTAACAGCAAATGCCACCTCCTGTATTTTATCTCTCCTCCATTGAGGCAGCTCTGACACTGGCAGCAGAACAATGCAAAATTCTGATTAGCTCTGGTTTTCCAGCAAGAGGGGAGGCACAAGAGGGTGGGGATTTAATACTATTCTGCATAATTTTTAATCTAAATTCCATTTCTTTTCTTTTCTTTCTCCAGGAAGCAAACAATCTAGGGGGTTTTGTACTCAATTTCTTGCTTTCATAATCTAAATGAATTGTTTGCAAGTAGGAGCCAGCTGCAAAGCTGGCAATCTCGGATCAAATCTGCCTTTCTCCTAGTTCTTTCAATCATTAATTTGCTCCTCAGCTCTGATTAGCTAATCCTGGCTGCCTTGTGGCAGTTTCCAGGGAAAAACGGTGCAAGAGCTGCAGCTCCCATCCATGGAGGGATTGAGTCCTGGTGGCTCGTGGTGCTCCTGGTTGTCACTTCTCCAGAGACAAGTGGGGTATTCTTTAGGAGAAAAGGCTGGCAGGGTTATTTCTGGCATGCTGGCATTTTGGAAATACCAGAGGATGATGCTTTCCCCTGCTCTGCGCAGGGTGTGCGAGTTTGTTACGCTGAGATTAATTAGCTGGGCTTTAAAATAGGAACCCAAAGCACTGCAGCACTTCCTTGCTCAGAGATATCTGGGTGCTGCCCCATTTTTGGGATGGTGCTGCTGTGCCTGGAGGACATGGCAGAGCTGCCACCTCCATTTCCTAGGCGGGAAACTGAGGCACAGGGCTTTGCTTGCTGGTGGATGGAGCTCACAGAGCTCAAGCCCCAGCAGGGATGTCTGCAAGGGGATGGGAAATGGGATGTGTTGTGTGCCAGGCCCTGGTTTGTTACACAGTGAATTGATTTTACTCAGAGGGTGGGCAGGCCCTGGCACAGGGTGCCCAGAGCAGCTGTGGCTGCCCCTGGATCCCTGGCAGTGCCCAAGGCCAGGCTGGGCAGGGCTGGGAGCAGCCTGGGGCAGTGGGAGGTGTCCCTGCCATGGCAGGGGGGGGGATGGGCTTTAAGATCCCTTCACACCCAAACCATTCATAATTCTCTGATTTTATTCATTAATTCTATGAATTAATGAATTAATTGGTCTCAGCTCCTGGGAGTGCTCCTGCCAAGCCCAGTGGGCTGGGGGTGTCCCACTGGGATGTCACCTCCCAGGCTGACTGCTGGCACTCACCAGAGCAGCCCCTCATGATGTCCAGCTCCTGTCCCTGGGGCTGAGGGCCCAGGTGAGAGGGACAGGGCTCTGTGACCCCTGTGGCACCAGGTGAGAGGGACAGGGCTCTGTGACCCTTGTGGCACCAGGCTGGCCAGGACAGGGCTCTGTGACCCTTGTGGCACCAGGTGAGAGGGACAGGGCTCTGTGACCCTTGTGGCACCAGGTGAGAGGGACAGGGCTCTGTGACCCTTGTGGCACCAGGCTGGCCAGGTCAGGGCTCTGTGACCCTTGTGGCACCAGGCTGGCCAGGTCAGGGCTGCTGCTGCCCCGTGTGCCCCCTCCTCACGTGCAGCTACACAGGGCTGCTCCCTCAGCTGCTCTCTTTATTCCATTCCTTTTCCAGATAAATTCCCCGAGTGCTGGGGGTGGATCCTTTTAATTTCCATTTGTTTCAAAGCCATACAGGGCTTACAAGCATGACAGAAATGTGCCTGGAGTGCAGGAAATGGCCTACTTAGCTGCAGGAGCAGAGCAGGCTCCTCCAGCACCAGGGCTCCAAGGACCTCGTCCTCCCCAGGGACCAGGGCAGCTGCCTGCTCCCTCTCCAGCTCCTGCCTGGAGATGTTTGGTCCCACTGCAGAGCCCAAAGAGCCCATGCAGGCAGAACAGGGCTGGGGAGCAGAGGTTGGGAGAAACTTCCAGGGTGAGACAGGGCTTGGGAGCAACCTGGGATAGTGGAAGGTGTCCCTGCCCACAGCAGGGGGTGGGATGGGAGGAGTTTTAAGGTTTCTTCCAACACAAACCAGGCTGGGTTTCTGTGATTGTGACTGAAATGCTGTGTGAGGCCAGGCCAGGTCACTGTCCCCCTCACACCTGGCTGGCTGTGACAATCTCTGTTGGCTGTTCCAGGATTAGAGAGGGGCAGGGCTGGTTTAGGACTGGTACCTGCTGAGGAAGCAGAGCTTGCAGGGCTACACCTCTGACAGCTCTGGGCACTTCTGGCTCATCTGCAAAGGGACAGATCCAGAGGTGTCACTCTCACAGCTGGTGAGAGCTGGAAGGAGGAAGGCTCACCCAGGCTCACCCACAGCACCCAGAGCTGGGCTGGGCACACTGCTCTGCCCTCAGCTCTGGGACACTCACAGGGACTGTCCCTGCCACCTCTGCCATGGCTAGAGCTAGAATGCACAGAATGACAGAATGTCCTGAGCTGGAAGGCACCAAAAGGATCATGGATCCAGCCCCTGGCCCTGCACAGACCCCCAGCAATCCCACCCTGGGCATCCCTGAGAGCATTATCCAAACACTCCTGGAGCTCTGGCAGCCTCGGGCTGTGCCCATCCCCTGGGGAGTCTGGGCACTGCCCAGCACCCTCTGAGGGATGAACCTTTCCCAAAATCCAGCCTGACCCTGCCCTGGCCCAGCTCCAGCCATTCCCGGTGCCTGTCCCAGAGACTGGAGCTGCCCTCAGGAGGAGCTGCAGCCCCCTCTGAGCTCTGCCCTCAGTCTCCTCCAGCTGAACAATCCAAGTGCCCTCAGCTGCTCCTCAGACCCTTCCTGTGCCCTTGTCCCTCCTCTGGACACTCCAACAGCTTCAGATCCCTCTGATATTGTGGCACCCACAGCTGCCCCAGAGCAGGGGTGAGGCAGAGTCTCAGTCTGTGCCTTAGCAGGGCAGGTGGCAACAGGAGGCTTCCTGGGCTGAGAAGAGTCTTTCCCAAGGGAAAAGGACCCCAGAGTGTCCCAGGAAGGCTGTGGGTTTGCATTAACAGCAGCTTCCTTTCCTCTGGGCTCCTAGAAAGGACGATGGGACCAGCAGCTGCTGCAGGAGGAGGAAGAGGAGGCAGGGCTGTGCCCATGGCAGGGAGCAGGATGTGGGCTGGCACAGCCCGTGACAGGGCTGCTGGAGCAGAGGCAGGTGAGCATTGAGCTGTCCAGCCTTTAATCTTATTGAACAGCTCAGCCTGGTGTTCTGAACCTCCAGGGATGCAGCTTTCCCTCCATTTCCATTTCTTTTGCTGGGGGTTTGTCTTTGGCTCAGAGCAGCAGCAAGCAGCTCCATGAAGTCTCTGGGGCCTGGGGGAGGTGGAGTCCCCTCTCAGGCACCTGAGAGACACAGCACTGAGCACCTGGCCCTGTGGTTGCTCCCTGAGGTTTTCCCAGCCACAGGAGTGCTCCAAGCCTTGCTCCAGGCACACCAGCACATTGTCTCTGGGTGGGCTGCACTGGCAAGCACAGCCACAGTTCACAGGGGTTTGTTTTGGGGCACTGAGCCTTCCTCCACCACTCTCATTTGTCTGACCCACGCTAACACCTCAGACTCTGTGTTTAATTCCCAACAAACTGTGCTCTTAGGGCTGGCTGTGCCTGTGTGTCCATCTCCACAGGGGCATCCAAGGCTGCCTGGGGGCCGTGCCCTTCTCTGCTAGCAACGCTGGGATTCAGTTTGGTGGATGCTCTCTGATGTCAGGGAGTCAAAAAAGCAGCAGAGCAGCTCCTGGGCCTGGGGAGAAACCAAGGAAAGGGTTGGATGAGAGCTGTGACTTCTGTGAGAGGCAAAGAGACTTTTTTCCAGAGGCAGGTTTCTTGTGCAGAGGCTGCTCCTGGGCTGCATTAATCCCAGCACAGAGTGGCTGTGAGTGTCCCACAGCAGGGACACTGCTCCTTGTGATGCTCAGGAGTTATGTTTGCAGGGAACTGAAGAGAAGCAGCAACAAGCAAGGTGCAAAGTGGGCAATCCCTCCCTCCCTGGCTGCTCTGCCTGTCCTTCCCAAGCCCAGCCCCTGGCACGGCTGTTTGAGAGGCCAACGGGGTGCCAGGGCTGCAGCCCAGCCTGCCATCCTGGCTGTGCTATGGGCACCCCGGCCCCAAAGCACTGGGGATGCTGAGCTGCCCCCCACCCACCCAGCCAGCCCCGGGGCCCTCCTGCCTGTCCTCACAGCTTTGGAGGGGACTGCAGCCCCCTGCCTGCTGCTCAGGGGACAGGAGGGGCCACGAGGGGCCAGGAGGAGTTTTCCCCGTGTTGCTCTGCTCCAGTTCCACGTTTCAGGTGTCTGCAGGGAGGGTGGCTCCAGTGGAGGGATTGCTGCTGCCAGGGGAGGCTGGGCTGCTCCCTGTGGGCTCTCACTGAGGGACAGAGACTGTGCCACCCCCCTGACACGGACAGCAGGTCAGTGATGTCACTGAGGGACAGCCATTCTGTCCCCACAGCCCCTTCCCAGCCAGCCACTGCTGCAGGTGAGGGGGAGTGTCCAGCCCCAGGACACCCCAGTCCCCAGGCTGAGCACAGCACTCCCTGATCACTCCCTCAGCACTGGAGACATCCCAATTTGAGCATGGACCAGCTGCAGGGACATCTGGGACACCCCTGAGGAAGGTCACCAGCCCCTAATGGTGGCACCAACAAGCCATGGCTCTGCCATTCCAAATGGGAGCTGTGCTGAGTGTGCCTGGCCCCTGCAGGGTCACTGGGGGCAACAAGGCACTCCCAAAGCCTGGATTTGTCTGCTCCTCAGGGCAGCTGGAGGTGCTCCAGGAATGCAGCAGAAGAGGCACAGATGTCAGCACTGCACCAGGCCACGTCTGGAAAGCTGATTTCTCATCCTGCTGCCTAATCCCAAATCACACTGGGAGTGAGGATGATATTCCATTTCACTTCCATGGCTTGACTCCACCAGGAAAGGCTGCAGCTCTGCTCAGACCACGAGGATTTGAAACCCATGTTCATTTAACCCTCCTGAACTTTGCCTGATATCGTGTTGTTGCTCATTAGCTTTGCCCTGCAAAGCCTGGCTGACATTTCACAAACTCATTAGCAGGAGATCAGAGGCTCCAACATCATTCCTGGGGCCATCCTTTGAGGAGCAGATTCCCCGTGGGTTTACACCACAGATCTCACTGTGATTCCTGACCTTGGGAGAAAAGGGCCCACTGGAGAGCCAGCAGGAGCTGCTGCTGTGCTTTGGTACCCCAGGAGATGTGCTGCTGCCCCAGGACTGCATTCCTGCTGGAAGCTCCCAACTCCCAGAAGGATGAGCCTGCACACCCCAGGCTGCCAGGAGCAGGGAGAAGGGCTGAGCACGTTTGCTTTTCCTCCTCCCTGGCACAAAAAGCCCTCTAAGCCTCTCCCTGATAGGCTCGTTCCCCAGCTCCGGCAAGCAGGAGGGATTTTATGTCAGGCACAGAGATGGAATGTCCTTTCAAAGCAAATCAGGAGGCAGCCTGCACTCGCTGGCCTGTCACATTCCCTGGCAGCAGCCTGGCACGCTGGCAGCAGGCAGGGCAGAGCCGGGATGCGCTGTGCCCGGGAGCCGGGCTGCTCCTGTCCGCGATAAAGGCAGCGATGCACACCTCACACAGGGCTCGGGCAGTGATGCACACCTCACACAGGGCTCGGGCAGCAAGGCACACCTCACACAGGGCTCGGGCAGCGAGGCACACCTCACACAGGTGCCGGGCAGCTAGGCACACCTCACACAGGGCTCGGGCAGTGATGCACACCTCACACAGGGCTCGGGCAGTGATGCACACCTCACACAGGGCTCGGGCAGCAAGGCACACCTCACACAGGGCTCGGGCAGTGATGCACACCTCACACAGGGCTCGGGCAGCAAGGCACACCTCACACAGGGCTCGGTGCCTTTCAGGCTCAGTCCTTGGAGCGCTGGTGCTTGAAGGCAGCAGCTCTGATGTGTTAGATGAGGTTACAAACGCATCTCGCTCTCCTGCTGGGCTTTTATTGGGGGAAAAAAGGGATCCAGAGGAGAGGTTTGTCCACTTGCTATCGTTTCTCACTCTCCACAAGTCTTTTATCACAGAATGGTTTGGGCTGGAAGGGACCTTAAAGCTCGTGTCACTCCACGCCCCTGGCATGGGCAGGGACATCTCCACCAGGACTTCACATCTGATCCCAGCTCCTCAGCTCTGCCTCCTCTCTCCAAACCTCTCATTTGTTCGAGCTAAACTTTGATGATTACAGCCCGAATTTTGAATGTATTTATGCAGTTTATTCCCATTAGCTGCCCACATGTCTGGAGCTCAGTGTTTCCTTTCTTGGGCTGAATTGCTGAGAAAATATTCAGCTAGACCATCCCTGGAATGGCTAATGGCTTCACTCCTCCTCTTCCACTTGGATTTGGGCTTCTGAAATGCAACTTTCAGAACACAGGACCTCTGCCAGCTTGGCCATAGGGCTGAATGAACATTTCTTGTCACTATTTTTGACAAATATCACAGACACTTGAAATTCTGTGATTCTGTGAGGGTGGGCAGGGCCTGGCACAGGGTGCCCAGAGCAGCTGTGGCTGCCCCTGGATCCCTGGCAGTGCCCAAGGCCAGGCTGGACAGGGCTTGGAGCAGCCTGGGACAGTGGGAGGTGTCCCTGCCATGGCAGGGGTGGCACTGGATGGGCTTTAAGGTCCTTTCCAACCCAAACCATTCCACAATTCTGTGATGTTTTTCTCAGTGTTGATTTTTCACAAAAACTAACACAATCTCTATGGAAAATATAGAACCTTTATCAATATCTCCAAATGTTTTGATTCAAAACTGTGTCACCACTGTAATGTGGGAGACAGTTTGACAGGATTTTGGTTCCACCTTCCCCATGTTCTGGGCTCTCAGCCTAAGCCAAGGCTTGGGGCTGTCACCACCTCTGACTCACAAAAGTTATCATTTTCTTTGAGATTTCAACCAATATTAGCAACTTTCCTACATCACAGGAGCACAAAGAGCACATATCCATACCACAGACTTCTCTACTTGCCTGATTCTCATTCTGGGGATAAAGGAGATGCTCTGCAGTGTCCAGGACTGACTGGTTCTGCCAGCAGGCACTGGGAGCAAAGAGAAAGGGAAGCAGGGTTATTTTGGGTTATTTTGCCATGTCAGCTGGGAGGGAGGGAGATAACCCAGTCCTGGGCAGGTCTGAGCTCTGTGCCAGCACTCCAGCCACAGGCATCTGCTGCTGCTCCTCTTTACACAGCTAAATCCTGGGTTTTACAAAGCTTTGTGTAAATGGCTTTGCACTATTTAAATACAAACCTTCAAAGAAACTTTAAATACAAACTGGACAAGCCAGCTCCAGTTGCATAAGGGTGGTTCTGTGAGAAATGCACATAAATGTGGGTACCTGGCCCTGGGTGAGGGGCTTTTTCTTCCACTGAGATAATCTGGGTGTTTTCCCCAGTGCCAGGAGCAGCAGGCACTGCCTCACCAGTCCTGGTTTTGCTCTGCCTCTCCTCAAGCCACACATGACCTCAAAATGTATTCCAGAGAAATGGAAAGGCAAGGTACCAGGTTCAGAAGTGCCTTTTAAAGGGACTCCGTGCACACTCGGAGCCTCAGGCTTGAAAACTCCCCCGAGGCTTTGGAAACCACTCCCTGCTCCCTCCCCCAGAGCCAGGTACTGTGCTTGGCAACAGTCTTCCCTTCACTGGTTTTCAACAGCTCCGAGATTTTACACCCCATGCGTTCTTTTTTTTTTTCCTTTCTTTTTCTTTTTTTTTTTATTATTATTTCTACATCTCCTTCCCCTCCAAAGCTCCCCGGGCTGAGCTTCCTACAGAGATAACATCGCTCCCTGCTAGCAGCAATTAGCACTTGGTAAGAATGTTTCATCAGAGAGAAAAACATCCAGCTAAATTCCTCAGCTCCTGCCTTCTGCTCTGATTGCAGTCCCTCGTTTCAAGGCAGGAAGGCACAAGGCCTGGCCTAAACTCTAATATTTTCCCGCTGCAGCTCGGTTTTGGGGGTGCTTTAGGCAAACCCTGCCTACTGAGCTGAGCTAACCAGGTGAGCTGCTAACTCTGTGCACAACACAGGTCCTGACAATCTTAAAGTGCTTTTTAAACGCTTAAACCATAGAGCAGTAATCACTGAGGAACCAGCATCACCTCTTAAGGCAGCTAAATCTGGTTTGTCATGCATAAAAAGCAGAGCATGCCTTCCTTCCAGGAGCTGCTTTGAATCCACTGCTGTAAATTCTTGCCTCTGCCACCCTGCAGCCAGGAAATGTGGCTGTGAAAACAAGTTATGACAGGGAAAATTCAGATGCTTTATCCTGAGCCATCCAGATGCTGACAGAACAAGAAAGGTGAGTCCCACATGGTTTTCCCCTGTCTGTGGATAGGATGGGGTCACTTCCCTCTCTGGGGTCCCCAGTGCTCCCTCACCTGTTCCAAACCCCCTCTGCTCTGTCAGCTCCCCTTGGCACACTCCCACCAACCTGCCAGGCTGCTTTTGTGCCCACACCTGCACTGTTCTGTCCCTTTGTCCCTGTTCAGTGGTTTTTGGTGCAGAAGTGATGCCCTGGATGTCCAGGGAGCAGCCACAGCGAGGATGGTCTGAGGCTGCCTCCAAACAGGATGGGAATGGCTGTCCTCGACAGAGCTGGCTTAGGAAAGCTTCAGCAGGCTCAGGACTAGGAGCAGTTTCACCGGCAGAGCCCACATCGCTCCTCTCAACACCTGATTGCTCTTTATCCCAGCCCATCTCTGACATCACAGCCGGGCTTCCACACAGACGGAGCGTCCCTCCCTCCCCGTGGCACAAAGCCACAGAAATGTGGCTCAGGGGCTGCAAAATAATCCCGTCGTGGCGGTGAGGATCCAGCTGAACCGCGGGGGCCGGGCAGGTGTTGGAATGCTGGGTCCTGGCAGGGACAGGGAGATAAATACCCAGTGATTTATCCGGGACAGAAAGGGCTGAAGGAGCTGGGAGAGTAATTAACCTCTGGTGTTATTTCAATGGAAGATGTCTTGGCATGAAGTGTCCTTGGGAGGCACCAGTGAAGTCAGGCTCATTTTAAAAAGTTCGACAGCTTGAGAGACAAAAAGGGTGTGAGCTCCTGATCTCCCTGCGGATCAGAGCCCTCCCTCCCTGCCTCGGGCACACCTTGCTGCCCCTCCCTTCCACAGGCATTTTCCATCATGAAGGCAAAAATGCTGGGGTGGGTTTTTTTTTTTTGGGTTTTTTTGGGGGGGGTTTGGTTTTTATTTTCTAGAGCTGGTTTGAAAAGCCTCTGTGATCACTGGTTCTGGCACTGGGGGAGAGGCAGCGTGGACCCTGCTGTTTGGGGGTAGATCCTTTCCTTTGAGGGTGGATGCTGCTGTTTGGGGCTGGATCTTGGTGTTTGGGGGTAGATCCTTTCCTTTGAGAGTGGACCCTGCTGTTTGGGGGTAAATCCTGCTGTTTGGGGGTAGATCCTTTCCTTTGAGGGTGGATGCTGCTGTTTGGGGCTGGTCCTGCCCTTTGGAAGTGCCTCCTGACCCCCACAGGTCGCACGCGGTGTTTTGGAGCTCAGCACAGCAGTCCATCCCTTGTACAGAGCAGGAGGGGTGGAGGTGCAGAGACTGGCAGCGGTCCCTGCTCAGCCCCGGGGGCTCTGGGAGCCTGGAGAAGCCTCGGGAGGAGTCTCTGCAGGGGCTGCCTTGGGACTGGCCCTGGAATCACAGCCAGCCTGAAGGACAGGGGAGTGCTGGGCTGTTAAGCAGCACCCACGGCTGCGGTGCTGAGGAAAACAGAGATATTGGGATCTTCAGTGACTCTCTCAGAACTACCTCCAGCAGTGATTCCCAAAAGTTCACTTTTTTCCATTGTAAATCAGAGAAAGATGGGAGAAATCTCACCACAAAGGCCTTGGCTAACTTGCTGTTTGTCTCCCCTTGCAGAGCAGAAGGTTTGGGAGGTGGCTCCCAAGGGTGTGATTTTAAATGAATGGAAGTAAAGTCAAAATGCTGTCAGTAGCTTAAAAACATTTTTGAAAAGTTACCAATGGAATCTGTTCCAACCATTCCTCCCAGGTGTGGCCCTGGGAACATTTCTGTACAGTGAGATCTCTAAGGTGCAGCCACGTGGATGTTCTGTCCCCATCATATTTTCTGGAAATATCTCCTTGCCCAGGATTTCTCTCCTGGGAAGCTGAGAAGCCTCAGAGAAAAACGAAAACAATAATGATCTGATTTGCTTCTTCTGTGTTTTGCTGCTGTGGAATGTGTTTGGACATTATTTACCAACAGGTGGATGTTTCATTGGTTGCATGTGAATTGTTTTTACTTATTGACCAATTATATAAAAGAGCCTTCTAAGAACATGAAGTCAGATTCCTTTCTTTGCCTTGGTTGGGGCACCCAGAAAATACAGGAATATTCAGCTTTGATCCCTTGGAGCCTGCAGACTCCAGCATCCCTGAATCCATGACAGCACTTTCTGGAAGTGCTCCAGAGGGCACAGCCACAGTCAGGATGGGGTTTGGCGTGGCTGCTGGGCTGCTCCATGGGATGTGGCACAGACCTGACTCCTGGTTCCTGTGCCAGAGGAGCCATGTGAGAGCTGCACATGCCAGTGCCAAAGAGCAGCCCCGTGCAGGGAGCCCTTCCCTCTGGGGAACACAGGGTTAATTGCCCTGCTAATCACTCTCTTTCACTAATCAGTCCCTGCAGAGGGGCTCTGTTTGTTTTTCCAGGCTTATACATCCTCTACCCAGCGTTTCTGGTGATTTATTTAAGAGGCTAATTTTTGATTTTGCTTTCTGGCGTTTATTTTAAGGTTTGGTTTTCTGTTTGTGGGTTTTTTTTTTTTTCTTCACAGCAAACATAAAATCTGCTAAGATATTTCTCCTAGGAATTTTATTGATTCAGCAGGTCTATTCCCAATGTGAGTCCTAATTTCAGAGAATTCCCTGTATTCATGGAACCAGGCTGCTGAGCCTTATGGACACTGCAGGTCCTTAACAAAGGACACAACTTGGTTTTTAAAGTTCTGAGTAGAGGATACATGACTTGGAAACTGGGGGACACTCTCAGGTATTGGGCCACTCATGACAAGAGACATTGGGGGGCATGTCCAGGGAAGGGAACAGAGCTGGGAAGGGGCTGGAGCACCAGGAGGGGCTGAGGGAGCTGGGAAAGGGGCTCAGCCTGGAGAAAAGGAGGCTCAGGGGGGACCTTGTGGCTCTGCACAGCTCCTGACAGGAGGGGACAGCCGGGGGGGATCGGGCTGTGCTCCCAGGGAACCGGGACAGGACAAGGGGAAATGGCCCCAAGCTGTGTCAGGGGAGGTTTAGGTTGGATATTGGGAGAATTCCTTCATGGAAAGGTTGTCAGGCACTGGCACAGCTGCCCAGGGCAGTGGTGGGGTCACCATCCCTGGGAGAGTTAAAATGTGTGGATGTGGCACTCAGGGCCTGGTTTAATGGTGAATGTGCTGGTGTCTGGCTGGACTTCATCTTTCCCAACCTTAACAATTCCATGAGCAGTGACTGACCATGAGCAAGGTGACTGTGCAGAACAGGCTGCCCTGGAGTGAGAGGCACAGAAGAGAGGTGCCCCTCTCAGGGCAGCAGCTCCTCCTTACCGGTCCAGCAGGGAGCCCAGGGAGGTGACAGCGCTGTCCCACTGTGCTGCCAGCACCAGGCACAGCCCATCCTTCAGCAGGGAGCACTGCAAGAGAGGGGGGAACAGAGCTTTGGTGCTGCTCTGCACCTGAACAAGTCTCTAAGTCTGATTAATGGGTGAGGAACAGGAGCCACGGAGCAGCAGATGCCCCCAGGCAGAGGCAGTGCCATGTCTGAGCTGTGACCCCCACAACCCTCCAGAATTCCTGCTGCCCTCTCTGAGTGAAAGCCAGCAGAGTGTCTGGGTGTGTTATTCAGTCCCCACCTCTGCTGGAAGCAGGAACACCAAGACAGGTAAATATTGAGACATTCTAGCAGAAACACTCAGTACTTGAAGCAGCCCATCTGTCTCCTAGAGGGGGAGAGCAAAGGCTGTGACATTCACCTTTGGCTCAGCAGTGCCAGATCCTTCTGGAAGCACACCAGCTCTGCCCAGGGCCATTTATCTCTGACAGGAGGAGGGAGGGGTGGCTCTGCTCCCCCAGTGCTGTCCTTCCTAGAGAGCTGTGCACATTCCCTGTGCAGAGGGATGGATCCTCGGGGGACTCAGGGCACAGGCAAGCAGTGCTTACACTAATTGGCTGCTAGATGTAATTGCTGTTCCATACAGATGTACTTCAAAGGGATGCTGTCAGTTTTAAAAAGCACAACCTGAAAAGATCTTACATGCTCCTATTACAGATAACACCCAAGACTTAGAACTGAGAGCTGGAAGCCCAAATGTTTGTGTTTTGTGAAGGGGCTGCCGTGGTCTGAGAGCCCTTGGGTGATTGTTGGTTTGCTACTGCCACTGTAATTACTGTCCCCCCTTGCTTACTCCACTGCTGACAGCATTTCCTGCACATTCCGCCTTCCAGCCCTGCCCAGGCAAGGTTCCTGACTGGGTGGGCTTCTCCTACACCAAGAGGAAAACAGCCTGGGCCTGGTTTTCTGCTGCTGTGGAGCAACGTCAGCTCAGCCCAGCAGCACAAACCCCAGGCTGGGCTGCACCTGCTGAGGGCCACAGGATGGCCTGGGTTGGAAGGGACCTCAAAGCCCATCTTGTCCCATCCCTGCCATGGGCAGGGACACCTTCCACTGTCCCAGGTTCCCCATCCAACCTGGCCCTGGACACTGCCAGGGATCCAGGGGCAGCCACAGCTGCTCTGGGCACCCTGTGCCAGGGCCTGCCCACCCTGCCAGGCAACAATTCCTTCCCAATATCCCATCCAGCCCTGCCCTCTGGCAGTGGGAAGGCATTCCCTGTGTCCTGTCCCTCCAGGCCCTTGTGAATTGTCTCTCTCCCTCTTTCCTGTAGCTCCTTCACACACTGAAGGCCACGGTTAGGTCACCCCAAAGCCTTTTCTTCTGCAGGTGAACAATCCCAGTTCCCTCAGCCTTTCCCCCCAGCAGAGCTGCTCCACCCCTCTGATCATCCTGGTGCCTCCTCTGCACTGGCTCCAGCAGCTCCAGCTCCTTCCTGTGCTGGGAGCCCCAGAGCAGGAGGCAGCACCCCAGGTGGGAAAACCTCTGGCTCAGGCTCCAAGGCACAGTCCAAGAAGAAGAAGAAGAAGAAGGGTTTTTTAGCATTGTAGAGGAGGATTAATGGGGTGTGATTAGAGAGAGGGAAATAGGAATTGTATTTATATGGAGAAACAAGAGAAGAGACAGCAGCAGAGTACACAGAACAGGGTGATGGCTGACTGGAATTAAACTTTCTATAAATGACTGGTGGATGGACCATTCCCATGAGGGCTCCCAGGGATGCAGGACCATCAGGAAGTGTCCCCAGTGCCCACATTACTCACCAGAGGTGCCAGGGCTCTGTGGCAGTGCTGCAACAGCGCCACCAAAGCCTCGGGGCAGCACCTCAGAGCAAGGCATTACAAGGCTCTTCTTTTGTGCCAATTTAGCATTGTAGAGGAGGATTAATGGGGTGTGATTAATGGGGTGGGAAGCAAAGCCCAGCTCCAGCTGTTCCATACCTTTGCTGCAACACTGCCCTTGGCCCTGCTGAGCAGCTGGGAGATGCAGAGAGCCTGGGGTGAGTCCAGCACAGCCAGGCGAGCTCCAGTCACCACGAAGCCTCTGCCCACGAGCTCCTCCAGCAGCGCCACGTACGGGGGCGGCTCCGAGCCCCGCAGGATTATCCCGGGCAGCACCAGGCACGTGCTGTGCCAGAGCTGCTCCAGCAATGCCTGACCTGATGGAAAACAGCAGGACGTTGATTTGGTCTCTTCCCCCAGCACCTCTGAGCCCTCTCAGTGCCTCTGCCCTGGCACAGATGCGTGCGTGGCAGTCGGAGGCACCACGGCGCTGGGATGTGCCCAGAGAGGTGTGCACGGATGTCCTGGGATGTACCCAGGGATGAGCCCTGGGATGTGCCTTGGAAGGTGCCTGGGGATGTGCCCTGGGATGTGCACTGGATGTGCCCTGAGAGGTGCCCTGGGATGTGCACTGGATGTGCCCTGGATGTCCTGGGATGTGCCCTGGATGTCCTGGGAGGTGCCCTGGATGTCCTGGGGAGGTGCCCTGGGATGCCCATCCCGAGCTGCTGCATGCCTTTGTGTCCCTGTCTGGAGATCACAAGACAGCAGGAGTGACCCCATTTCAGGAGTCAGACAAGGACAACTGCTGGTTTGCTACAGGAGCTACTACTCCATTTTCATTTTTGCCCAGCAGCTAATCCAGCTGCTTTTATAATCCCAAGTGTAATTCTGCTCAGCATACGTGAGGCTTAATGTATTTCATATTTTCCTCATGATAAATCTGTCTGTCCATTAGGCAGCAGCTTGGTGATAATTATTTGCTGGAAGGAGCTTTCCTTGTGTGCAAGAGCTTCCTCTAGTGTCCAAGATGAGCCCAGAACGTGAGTGATGTGTCTGCTTTGCTGGAGGCACTTGTGAGATCGTGCCTGACAGTTCAGAGATCACGTGGGCTTGCTTTTCCAGGGCAGTAACTCTTTGAAATACATTTTCTGAGACACAAACACATCAGGCTGTACACTGTTTTCCTTTTTACTCTGCTTAGGCATCTTCAAAGCTGAGATATCCTCGTGTAGCAGGAAATTAGGGGTGTGTATTTTGAGATTAGCTCCTGCCACTGAGCCGTGCAAAGCCTGCAGAATACCTGTGCTCTCTCCACAACAAGCTGGTTTTTTCTTTTATTTTGTTTTATGCAATCTCTTCTACAAATCAAGTGATTTGGTCACAGCAAACGTGCTCCTTTCCCATTGTGCACTAAAATGATGGGGAAAACACCCTCCCAAATATCTTGGGACAAATCCTCCTTCAGAGACCCCTTGCACAAGAGTGACTTGGTGTTCACCCAGGAGCAGAGGACTTGATTTACCACCCCCCTTGCACTTCTGCACCTGCTGGTAAGTGAAAAATGCCCCCCCAAAGCCCTGTGCCAGGCAGGGCTGGGCTGTGATTCTGCATTTTTTTATCTTGCTCCTCTCCCATCCACAGCAATCCTGAAGTTCCACTGCTGGGATTAAGGACTGCAGTGATCAGGTGTAGCACAGGAACATTTTCTGAGCTGCCCACATCAGTCACATCAGAACTGAAGCTACAGGAATGGGAATAATTGTTCTAAACAATTCTGTTCCACAGGGATGCTTCACCTGGTCCCTGCTTGTTTATAAAGGCTTGGGATCAATGCACAGCATCCCAAGGAGGGAGCAGCCCCTGGTGTCAGAGCCATCTCTGCCCCTGCAGCACAGCTGTGTTTACACATGGCCACCAATGAGCAGGAGAGGCCCTGAGGAGCTGCTGCAGCCCAGCAAGTGTCAGCCTGGCTGAGGCTCAGCTCCCAATCAAAGTCAGCCTGGCCATAGCTGGGAGTCCTCTGGAGCTGGCAGCTGCTCAGCAGCAGTGGGAGCTGAATGAGCTCTCAGCTGAGCTCAGGAGAGGCCTCTGGCCATGCTGCCAGCAGCACTCCCTGCACCAAGTGATATTTATCTACCCACAGCACAGAACAGCTCACCCTGGCCAGCCCTGCTGCCTCTCCAGGGGAGGCTCTGAATGGGCACAAACCACCAGGCTTGTGCTGAGACACCTGGGAAGGGTTCAGAGAGGAACATGTGCTGCCCTGACACCAGCTGTGTTGTCAGTGCTTGTTCTGCTGCTGCTGTTGAGGTCAGCCCTCGTGGACAGCTCTGTCTGTAAAGCCCTGAAGTGCTGGCAGGTGAACAGTTAAAGGCTGGACTCCCCTGGAGCTGTTCTCTGCAGCTCAGAGCTGTCTCTCCCTTCTGAAAGGACATCAATACCCAATCTTGCTGCCACCAGATGGTTTGTCTTGCTGTCCAATGAATCAATAGCAGTTCCAATCCATAAGAGGAGTTACATTTCCTTACCAGGGCTGCCTGGCTGCTCAGGGCCCAGGACACTGGGATGTCTTCCTGGGTCATGACTTAGGATCTTGTGCTGCTTCCTGATTCCCAGGCTGAGGATGGGGTCGTGTTTCAGGTTATGGATCTGCAGGAGGGAAGGCAGGGAGGGAGGGAGAAGCAAGTCATGTGAACACATTACCTAATGAGGAGGGATAACACTCCTCAAGTATTGATTCAGGCAAGCTGTGAAGCTTTTGTTGTTGTGGTGTACTTCTGTAATTGCCAGCCTAGAAAACACCTGCTTGTCTGGAGATACAAGAACATTTTGCATGCATTCTTCTTTTTAATTGAGGTTTAATTCAGTGCAGCATCTCATCATCCTTTTCAAGGTCCCATATCCAGCCATCAATCTAAAGTCTCCACTCCCAGGTATTCAAGGCCAGGAGCTCAAACAAAGCCTGTGAGAGTGTGACAGCTTTACCCAGTGCCACGCTGGGGTGCAGCAGCTCCCTCTGTCCCTGAAAGGACTGGCAGAGCCAAGATGCCCTGCACTGAGCTGCACACCCACACAACTGAAGCCTGTTACAGATGTGGCCATTTCCAGAGCTAATCTCCTGGGAGGACCATCTCAGCTGGGTCACCTCTGAGCCTCAGCAAAGCTCAAACCTTTCCATCCCTTGGCTGAGCACATCCCAATCATGTTCACATCATCAGCCATCCCCTCCCTGAACGATACAAAGCTGGTAAAAAACCAGCTCCTGGGTCAAGTGTGCTCAGCAGCCAGGGTGAGGCTGCTGTCCCTGCTGCCAAAGCAGTGCTGACCTGAGCCCTCCCAAATTCACAGCAGAGCTTGCTGAACAGACAGATCTGCAGCAGCTCCTCCCCACCGAGGCTGCTGGGCTCAGTGCAGGGGGAGGAACATCCCCAGGCCCGGGGGAGCCTGGCAGCTCAGCAAACACACCCAGAGCTGCATTATCTACAGCATAATAGCAGAGAAGGAGCAGGATAGCAGGGCCAAAGCTGCTGCTGTGGCACACAGGATAAGCTCAGGAAGGGGCAGATTCCCACCTCTTGCTCCTGCACTGGCTGCCACTGGGCACAGCACAGCCCTTCTGGGAAAAACAGCCTCACATCCCGGACTGCCATCGCATAGGATCTGGAGCCTGAGAGAGAAACACAATGAGAAGATTCTCTCAGGCCATGAATTAAACATTCTCTAGACTCACACTCATCTTTTGGAGAGATTGATGATGTGCAACTCACTGCAGTAATTGCTTTAAAGGCCAGCTGTTCTGTACAGTAATAGCAAACATTTTAAACCATTATATTTAGAATAGTTCCATTGCCTCCTTGGTATTTTGGTTCTGTCCTACTATCACTCAGCAGCTTCCTCGTGTAAACAAGATTCCTTCTATTTCCTAACAGTGGAGCTGAGGGAATCATGTTAAGGAGGCTGTGAAACCTTTCAATTCCAGCTCCAAATCCTGTTGTTCCCTTGCTTCTGGATCACACCAGGCTGCCCTTGCTGAAGGGGAAGAGCTCCTGGTTAGTAAAACAAATGTACTTAGTAACAATAATGGTGGTCACAAATACACTGGCAACTCTGAATGACCAAGGAAATCACAATTAGCACGAGGCACTGCTGATGGAAGAACATTCTTCTGGTCACCTCTGGTCAAGAAAGGTAAATTGAGCCTGCAACAGTCAGAGGAAGGACATGAGGATGACTGGGGAAATGGAGAATCCTCTCAAGAGTTAAACCAGACCTTGGCTTCTTTGACCCAACACGACCCAAAGCTGAGAAACAAATAAGATTTCTGATAAACACTTCAGGGTAGGAAAGGTCAGAGGTGTAAAAAGAGCTACTTAAAATAAAGTCCAGATATTGGCACAGGAATAAATGGGCACAAAGTGCATGTGGCTATATTTAAGTTTGAAAATGTAAGAAGATTTTTAGCTCTCAAGGCTCTGTGACTTCCATCCTGTTGGGGTGGGTGCTCATGGAAGGGAAAACGTGATGGGGCTGTCTGTGAGGGAATTAACTGAACTCAGTGACTCGAGAGGTGCCCCAGGCTCAGCAGCTGAATATTTCCCTATAAAGCAACAGTGTTAGAATGTTTGGAGATTTGTGGATGGAAAATATTAGAGAGGGAAAAGCTATTTCTATTGGAGTTTAGCTAGACTGTCAGTGTGCTGGCACAGACCCATGCTCCTGGGATACAAATATCCTCTGAAATATTCCCACCTTTGGGGCTGCCCATTCAAAGGATCCCACCTGAGAGCACTCAGCCCTGTTGGAGCACCATAATTCCAGGTTTTGTATAGCCAGGGCCCTTAAGGCAGCAGTTTACAATCCTGAGGTTGTGTAAATCCCAGTGTATGAGCTGGGCTGGATCCTTTCCATAGCTCCACACCAAACCTCCTGTGCTTCCATCATTGGTGGCATTACAGAGAACACAAATGCTCCCAAATGAGCCTTTTGCTCTCACTTTGCTCAAGGTACAAGACAGTGTAGGGTGCACATGTAAGAGCTCTTTGGATGCAAGAAAAAGCACAAAAAGCACACTCCAATGACTTCCCAAGCCCAGGGAGGATGGGAGGGTGCAGCTTCACCTCTGCAGCTCAGCCCTGCAGGATTAAAGCTGCATTTCTTGGTCCACCAGTCTCCCTGGAACCCCATCTTCATCTAAATTGCATCTCCTTTGTCACTTTGGGAGGAAATAGTAGGAGTTTACTCTGCTTCAGGCATTAACTCAAGTTCTTCCTCAGCTGGAGCAAACTAGGAGAGCCTAGAATTCCCTCCTAGGAAAGGAGGATGGGCTTGCACAGTCCCCCAGTTACTCACTGAAGGAAGGAAAAGCTCTGGGAGGTGCAGGGGGTTAGGAACACTCCTTTCCTCATGGATAGATGAGATGCTACAGCTGCATCCCTGCTCCTGGGATGAGGGCAGGGAGGGCTCTGTGGGCAGCCCTGCAGCTGGGTGCTGCTCAGTGCAGCAGGCACAGGGGCAGGGCCAGCTCTGGGCTCAGCCCACAGCCCAAGAGCAACTGCAGAGCCCAGCCCAGGGGTCTGAAGGCAGCCACAACATCCAAGGATCTCCCTCCCACAGGGAGCTCCCTGTAACTCCCAACAGAAATGGGATGAGACTCAGCTCCCCTTGCTTGTTTTCACTGAGCTATGCTGGGGATGCTCCAGCTGTAGCAAACATCTGAAATTTGGGATGTATATTACCCATTCTTAGCCATGCCTGAGGAATTTCAGAGCAATCTGGATACACAATCCATTCATTCATCTCAAGAGCAAGAGAAGCAGGTGCTGGCAATGGAAGAGTATTGGCTGGAGAGCCCTGATCATTTTTTTTTTATTTAATATAAGTAGATCCTGCTCTTCAGTCACTCCCACAAATCCTGTGGGATCTCTCCCAAGTCCTCAGGTTCTGCAGCAAGGGCTCAGTTCTCTCTCCCAAGCTGTGGCTCCTTCACTCCCTGCCAGTTCTCAGCAGCCCACTTGACTTGGATGGAAAGGGAGAGTGACTTCACAGCCCAGATACAATGGGAAAGCCAAATAATCCAATGGATCTTGTCAGGAAAGTTCCTCTGGGACTCTGGGCACACAGCTCACCTGAGTTTACAGAAATTATTGCTTTATATTTTTTTTTATATTCCTTTAAGTATTACAGCAAAATCAGTGCAACACTGAGGAGAAACACAGGCAGGGAGCTGACCACCCTTAATTCCCTGTGAATTTTGGAATTACATCCTTCCCTCCTTGTGGCTGCTCTCTCCAGGGACACTTCCCATTTTCCCATCCTTTACCACCACCTTTTACCCACATGCCAGTGCCTCCCTGCTGGCAGGGGAGCTGGGATGGGGCAGCACTCCAAGGATGCTGTCCTGCCCTGTGCCTCTGCCCGTGTGCCAGCTGGAAAGAGCCTGTCCAGATGGGAAGCAGCTGAGTTTCCCTGCTTGCCTCAGCAGGTTTGGGTCACCTCTCTCCTGCCAGCCATCAGCATTGTGAGATGTTACAGGATGTCCTGCAGTCTCTGTGAAATCTTGGAGCTGGCCAGTGGGTAATGGAGACATCAGGAAGGGACACACAAGCAGGGAAGACAGATGGGTTCTTGGGATTAATTCCAAAATAACCAAGCTAAAAGTACAAAATGACCAAGCAAGGAAGAGATCAAAGGAAATCTGCTCTGATAAAGCCAGAGCTGGGCTGCTCTGGGAGGAAGCCTTTTGGAATAGATCTTCTGGGAGAATATTTCATTGCTTGAGACACACTCAGCTCAGCCACCAGGAACACAGGGGAAGTTTTCTGGGGAATAATGGCCTGCAGTGCCTGCCAAGGCTGGATCTGTAGTGACAGGTATAGTGACAGGAGGGAACAAACATAACATATTTGTACATCTGAGCCTTTGGAATTTCTTTTACAAAAACCTACCATAAAATCCATTCTGGATTGTGCTGGTGCCATACTGAGCCCTCCAGAGGCGTGGATCCAGTGCTTGGGCCAGCTGAGGATCCTCTGGTCCCAGGAGATCCATCAGCTTCTTCACAGCATTGGGCCTCTGCAGGCACAGCACGAGGGCAGCGCCCGAGGTCAGGTAGGCACAGTGAGCTTCCACAGCAGCTGGATCCTGAGGGGAAATCAGAGATGAACAGTCATGGTGAGCACTGGGAACATCCCAGATTTCCTTTGGCTAGGAGGGAAAGTTGTGAGTAAGCAAATCTGCTGTTGCTCCTTGTTTTCTCTCCTTTTTAATACACTGCTGGTGTACTAAAGATTCCAAAATCTGGAGCTCAGACACCAAGCAGTGCCCATTTTGTGCCCATTTATTCCTGTGCCATTATCTAGACTTTATTTTAAGTAGCTCTTTTTACACCTCTGACCTTTCCTACCCTGAAGTGTTTATCAGAAATCAGATTTGTTTCTCAGCTTTGGGTCGTGTTGGGTCAAACAAACCAAGGTCTGGTTTAACTCTTGAGAGGATTCTCCATTTCCCCAGTCATCCTCATGTCCTTCCTCTGACTGTTGCAGGCTCAATTTACCTTTCTTGACCAGAGGTGACCAGAAGAATGTTCTTCCATCAGCAGTGCCTCATGCTAATTGTGATTTCCTTGGCCAGTCAGAGTTGCCAGTGTATTTGTGACCACCATTATTGTTACTAAGTACATTTGTTTTACTAACCAGGAGCTCTTCCTGTGACATCCAGCAGGTCACAGGAGGGCTGCTCCTTCAGGGAGATACCTGGATCAGGAAGAAGCACAGGCACAAGCAAGAACAGCAGGGTTATAAATACCCTGGGATGAGGAGCCACATTTTAATTCTTCAGCTGATGTAAAGTGATGGGTCGCAAACACCAGAGCTTTGCTTTTTGAATTCACAAATGGCAGGACACCCCCAACACAAACCCTGCTTCTCCTGAAGAGCGAACACTAGCTGGGATCAGGACTACAGAACTCAAAAGTAGCAGGGTCAGACCAGGGGCTGCAAGAAATCAGTTTGTTCTCCTGGCCTTGTCTGCTGCCCTTTGCCCCACAGCAAATTCCTCCAGCTTTGCTTCTTTCCCAAGCACTGCCAGTTCAGCCCATGCCCACCCCTGAACCCCACACCACCCTGGGATGGTACACTGAGGAAGGATGGGAGGAAACGACAAGAAACAACCACTGCACTGGTGAGGAGAGGCTGGGGACAGACAGACAGACAGCCCTGGGAGAGGCAGCAGAGCTGGGGCAGAGCTCTCTGGCCTTGCTGCCTGCTTTAATCAAGAAAAGCCTTGGGAAGCCAGGCCTGCTGCAGATGTCTGGGCTGAGCACAAGGTCAGGGTGCTCACAGCAGCTGCAGCTCTGCCTCCTCCTGCTTCTCCAGCTGAATAACAGGGCAGGAGCATCCAGTTCTGCCTCTTCCTGCCCTTCCAGCTGAATAATGCGGCAGGAACATCCAGCTGTGCCTCCTCCTGCCCCTCCATCCAAACAAGGTGGCAGGAAGATCCAGCTGTGCCTCCCTGCACCCCACAGAGCAGCAGCTAGGGCTGAATGTTCTCTCCAGTTTAGAAAACAAGGGCATCTCCAGCTCCCTGCCAGAATCAACCCATGGCTATTTATTTTTTTCCCAGTTTTTGAGGAAATAAAAACAAGAGGGGGGAAAAACACCATTTGATTCAGCTGAATCACGTCATTCACAGAGGTTTTAATTCCTCTATTTTTTAATCTTCTAAAAGCAGCAGAGGATGGCAATTCTCTAGATAAAACATTTCCAAAAGCAAATCCTATCATTTCATTTAAAAATATGGAGATAAAACACTTCAAGGCCTCTCTGCTTTTCTATCACGTGAAACCATTCAGTGCCTTTGACCCAAATCTTCTCTCACTCGCTGCCTCCTAAATTGCATCTCTGAGAAGTAGGTTATGAATTGACAACCACGGGCTCAAGCCTGATATTCTCCCCTCTGTCTGCAAAGGCAAAATATTTCATGAGAAAAGCCCTCTGTGCTTAAACTGGTGATGTGTTTAGGGGTTGGGTGTGGTGTTTGCCATGCTCCTGCCCCATGGGCACAGGTCACAGTGTGTCACTCAGGGGCTCTCTGCTGACAACAGCTCTGCTTGCAGGAGGATGAAGAATTGCAGCTTGTCACAGTGCACTGAGAAATGGTGACATTCATTCAGTTCTGTATAATACAAAATAATCCCTTCCTGCTTGAAAATTTTTGTTAGTTAAAAAAATGGATTTAATCCACTTTTCTATGGGTTTTCTCTTTGGGCAATGAAAAACCAGTGATATTTTTCATGACAACTTCCAAAAGGACTGATAAAACATATCAATATTCATCCAGGTTGGAAACAGCTGCAAAGAAAACATTCAGTTTCTGTCAAACAGATCAGAATAAATGAAAGTATTTTGTTCCAGAGCTTATAACCAGTGATTTCAGATCTAAATAACAGAACTCTTTTGTCTTTTGGCTGTTCCCCAGCAAATCCACGGACTTGGGGTTGAAGGTGATGTTGTTTCTAATGGTCACTGATGGTGCCAGGGAGCTTCTGGCAGCTCCTCTCACTCCTCACACCACCCAGGCTTGACATTCCTGCGTTCCCATCCTGCTCCACATCCCTGTGCAGCTGCCTGGGATTCAGGGAGCAGTTTCCTTGAGAGGAGGAAGTCCCAGCTGTGCCCTGGCTCGGGAGGACCGAGGGGATGAAAGAGCAGAGGAATTACCCGGCTGCATTTACTGCTGGCAGCACAGGATGGGGCTGGGAGGATCCATGGAATTTCTGAGCCCAGTGGCCTGCTGCTGCAGGCAGTCACAGCAGGTAATCCCCTGTGGTGGCTGAAAGTCTGCTCAGAAAGTCACAAACTTTCCCAGGCCTTGTCCTGGGGGAGTTTGAGAAAGCTCAGAGAAAAAATTAAAATAATCCTTAATCTTTGCAGCTGGTGTTTTGAATGTGTTGTTTCTTGTAAGATGTTTACAAGAAGGTGCTGTTCCTAATTAGCCAGTGATGGGAGAGGTGTTGATGAGGACCAGTCAGGTCCAGCTGTATCCTAACTGTCTGTAAAAAGAATGTGGTGTTTAATAAACCTGGCATTTGCCTTCTGAGACCTTGGAGTCTGTATGTCTCTTTATTCACCTGTCCTCAATACAACAGTGGCAATCCCCCACAGCAAGATCAGGCCCCAAAAACCCAAACTGCCAATCTGCAGAGGGCTGGATGAGCACTGAAGGGAGGGAGATCCAGCAGAACCCCCTGGGAACAGGCACTCCTCACTGGCTGCACACCACCAGGTCAGCCTGAAAGCTGGGGACAATGTCAGCTCTATTTACATGACCTTTATTTTCTGTAATCATTATTAAACTGCAGATAAAACATCTTGTTGTGGCCCCTGTGACTCGATAACCTCAGCAAAGAGCAGAGGAGGTGTTTTTTCTCGTGCTCCAAAGGCCACATGCCTATCTGAGCTCAGGGGAATATTTCAGTTGGAAAACCAATCACAGAGCTGAGCTGTGCTGCCAAGGATATTTGTCAAGTGTATGTAAATAATACATTAGAAAGGAAAAGGAGATGTGAGGTTGTCTTGTTTGCAGTGAATAAACCCAGATTTGCTCTCAAAACATAACAAACCAGCACTTGGGGGTTCTCTAGAGATGGGTTTTGGAGCAAGCTCCAGGTGAAGTGAGAAAAAGCCCTGGACAGAACTTCTAGCAGGGACAGACACACTGGCTCCACCTTCTTCAGCAGGACATTTCATCATGCATCTCATCAGTCCATATAAATGTCTCCAAGGGTGTCAGGGGATAGTGCCAGGCTCCCTCCAGCAGTGCCCAGTGACAGGAGGAGCAGTAATGGCCAGAAACTAAAACACAAGAAATTCCACCTCCACCTGAGGAAGAACTTCCTTCCATGCAGGGTGGCAGAGCTGTGGAACAGCCACCCAGGGAGGGCTTGGAGTGTCCCTCTCTGGAGACATCCCAAACCACCTGGATATATCCCCGTGGATACAGGGATCCTGCCCTGGCAGGGGGGTGGGACTGGATGATCTCCAGAGGTCACTTCCAAACCCAGCTGGGATTATCCCAACTGGGATTCTGTCACCTGCTAAATGTCAGCAATTTGCCCCCATTTTAGGAGTCTCATTTGAAGCCCACCATTGCACCCCTTTGTGCCACAGGCTGAGGAGCAGATCCATCATGAACATTCCTCCCATTCAAAAGCTGTACATGGAATTTAGCTGGGAAAAACAGCCCTGCCCCCATGGCTGCCATTGAGCCACTTACCCACTGGATTTTGTAAATAACCCAGTCCCTGGAGCCTGCTGAGGCTTTTTCCCTCCTTATCTTGGGGAGTCAGCCTTCCCCAGCCCTCCCCAGTGAGAGCCATTCCTGCTGCTCTGAAAAGGAGCAGGGGCCCCTGGACAGCAGAAAGCATTCCCCACTGTCTGCTCCCCTTCAGCAAAAGCAGACTGTTCTCTTTGCTTCCTCACTTTCAAACCCTGCTTTTTTCCTCATGAACAGTCTGTAATTTTTATCCTCATTAGTCACCAGCTCTTCAAGGCAACTGAATCAATGCTCAACAGCTGCTCTGGTGTGTTGGAGAACTCCAAAAACAAGGAAATTTTCAGGAAACAACCTCTCCTCACAATTACCCCTCAGGCATCTGCATTGCTTCCTGAGGACGTTTGGGGTTTTAAAGATGTTTTCTGTTTCAGATTATCAAAAAGGCATTTTGTATTTAGCTCTGTGATTAAATAACATTGGGAAGCACATCCCCATCAACCCTAATGGCCACTATATCCCTCTTGCCAGTATAAATATTTCAAACTCAGATGCCTGTGCTCACTGCTACCATGCAGAAGATATTAATTGTTCCAGAGCACTGCCTTGGCATGTGCCTCTTTTCTTCTGAAGTCTCTACTAATAATTTCTAGGAGACAATGTTATAAACTTTCCAAACTTAACCCAAGTGCAATATCAATTATAAATGTTTGTTTTTTATAAAGTCAAGTGGTTAAATGTCTTCAGGAAAGCAGTCAAATAACATAGATAGTTTTTCCCCAAGGCAAGTAAAGAAATAATTATCCAACTCCTCTCAAATGCCCAGAGTTCAGTTCCCTGGCTTTCACAGTATCCTTACACTCTGGGCACGTCAGGTTGAGAAAGAAAAGGTTTCTAATGCCATGAAAGAACAGAAACAAACATCTATTTTTAGCTAATCAACCCCACAATGCCCTAAGATTTAAGAACCCTCTTTACTGCTTATTGGACACGAGCAAGGACAATTTCCTCTCCTTGCAGGGGATTTTTACAGACTGGCTGCCAGGGTTCAGCTGTGTCTGCGATGCAATCTCGGGTAACAGCACCCCAGAGATGTGCATTCCCTGGCAGGCAGGAGGCTGTCCCAGCTTTACCCACATGGAATAAAGCCAGGCACACGTGCTCCCTGGATGTGCCCTACCTGGAACGACCTGGGGCAAGGAACAGAGGACACCTGTTTGGCAGAGCTGAACAGATTCCTGCGAGGTCTGCACTGCCCATACCCTCCCCAAAGTTTCGTTTGGGAGAAACCAGGGCTGTCTTTATGTGATAAAAGAAGCCCTCAGCTCTCTTTGTGCTGATGAGGTGCAGATCTGATTGTTCCATACAGCTCAGCTCTGAAACCCCGGGTGGGAATTGCTGAGGTTTTCAGGAATGGATTATCCACAGCTCATCCCTTTCCTCCCCACACAGAGGTGCCATTCCCTTCACCGACCTGCTGCAGCTCACAGGGCAGGAGAGCAGCAGCAGCAGCTGCTCCCAGCTCCAGGTGCTTCATTCCCACCACGCAGAATTTCTCCAGGTGCAGATCCCGCAGGATCCTGGGCAGCCTCTGGCTCCACACCCCGGGTTTGATCAGCAGCACCGTGCAGAGAACCTGTGCCCCTGGAACAAACACAGTGGGGTTTGTTTACTACCCTGGCCACGGGGAAACCTGGCAGGAAGTTCACAAAAATACCAGCAAAATGAGTCCATAAAAAACCTGGGCATATGGGATCATTTATTGATTTGGGTTCGCTTTGTTGGGTTTTCAGATTAAAAATGTATCTGAAACAGTCCAAGCTTGGAGGTTTCTCCATCAAGGAAATCTGCTCCGGGTCCTAAAAGTTCTTGTGGCAGCTCTGTCGGATAAGACTCAAACCTTTATATTACAGATTAATGTTTTAAGAGAGATAAAATATTCCCTTTTGCATTTTTCATGTGAACCATGGTGATGTGATGCTTAAGCAGCTCTTACATTCTTACTCTGGTGTTCTGTGTATTTTAGAGCTCTGTTTCAGAGAGGCACTGACAATGCTGACAGGTCCCAATTAATGTCATAAACCAATAATTAATTGAATTGTCTTTACCAAAATTGACATTCCAGAAAAACTTTCTGCTTCTGACACAGCTCTCCCAGCAGAGCTGCTAGGAAGGTGCAGCACTATGAGAAGGAGAAAACAAACCAGACCAAGAAAGCTTTGCTGTCTGATGGAAATGGATTTAAAGGCAGAAAATACATAAATTCCATTTTTAAATGACAGCATTTTCAAATTTTTAGTCTTGCTAAAGTACTTGCTACCAAGAGTATAGTTAATATTTTATCCTTATAACATCTTGTGGAGATTTATTGGCAAGTGCAGTGTCAGAACCAGTCTGTGAGGCCCAGGAGCTGCTGGTGCTGAACCACATCAATCAGCACGAGCACAGGGGAACATCCTACAGGCTGCTAAAACTGATGCAAGCTGATCTGTTTGGGTACAAAACATGTCATTTTCTGTTTCTGTACACCCCAGTACTAATTACACAGATGTCAATGCAGCAAAGCATCAACAAGGCTACCTCAAACTTAATGCTGTTATTTCCAGGTGACAAGCAGGAACGTGGCACAGAAACACAGGATCAAAAATAAAAACCAAGATGATTCCCTCCCCTTTTGATATGGAAACTTAACCCTTGTGCTGCAGGGAGCCCTCCTGTTACAGATGTGCTGTTTTCCTCACATCATTCCTGAACAGAAAGGTTCCATAGCAACAGCCTGGAAGTGCAGGAAGCTGCTGGGCTCCACCTCAGCAACCTCACCCCTGTGTGTTATGTAAGCACTCAGTGGCCTCCAGATGTTTTCCTCACCATCTGCTCCATTTTTGGGCAGATATTCTCATTCTTCTGCTGTGTGAGTCACTACCTGCTGCATATTTAGGGACTTTAGACACTTCAGGAGGATTGCCAGCTTGGTTTGCTCAGACACCTTGTCACCCAGAGCTGGCTTTCTCTCCTCAGCAATTACAAGTAACAAGAACTAGATAAATACCACTAATTACCAATGGAACAATCTCTGCTGATCATGAATTAGCAGAGGGACCTGTTTGGCTACGTTAAAACCTGCCTGATTTCCAGTTCTGACTGCTCAGAGCCTTTCCTGGTCTTTATTACGTTTCTCTACTTTGTAATACTTTTAGATCCATTCCTCACAACCCTTTCCTTTTTTCCTCCCCCAAAAAATTATTATATAGGTTTTGATTTCATAGCCTAACAGTGAAAAGAGAGTTTAGTTTATATGTTATTTATAGATAATAGTTCAGATAGGTGTGACTTCAAATAAGTGGGAAGTCAAGACAAGCAGATAGCACATCTCCTGGCATGCTCAGAGTGCATCAGGCTGGATTCCAGCCTAAGGAAAATGTTGGTATAATCCTTTTTTTCTCTTATTTTGGGCTGGTGCATCCAGATGATTTAGTTCCACCAAGTCCTTGTCAAAGGGCATTTTTCCATTTGCTCTTCTCTCACCTGCTTGCAGGAAGGAGAACATGGATTCTGCTCGGCACCTCCAGCTCTCACCCACTACAGGAGAGAAGCAGATTTGAGTGAGTTCTCTGTGTTCTGAGACAATCTGAGAATTGTGCTATCATCTCTACATAAAGCAGCCAATATTACAGTGACACACTGACATTTTAGGGTGTAACACTGGGACTGGGCTTGATTTCAGATGTCCTGGGACACCCTGGGAGGGGTCACACTTTCCCCTTCTCTGGTAATCCCAGGAGCACAGGTTGAGCAGGACTGCAGGTCCTAAACCATGCTGGATCTTGGTTACCTTTTCTGGGATTTCAGGGAGTGGTTAACAGTGGTTTTAAACCTAACTATGCTCCTAACATTCCACAGTCAGGTCAGATGCTGCCCTGTTTCTGGTGTTTTGTTTGATTCTCTCTTTGGTTTTTTGTCTCTTTGATTTTCTCTTTGTTTTTTTTTATTCTCTCAGAAACAAAGAGGTGCTGTGGATCCTGAGTGCTGCTGATAAAACCTCCCTGGCACTTCCCCAGCCAGCCAGGAGTGGCTGCTCCAGTGGTTCTCCAGGAGAGCAGAGCAGGATGAAAGGAGTCTGGGGAATCAGAACTTAGGACAAAAGCCAACAGAAAAATGTTCCCTTCGGTCTAATGTAAAACCTGCAGTGACCTGGAGATGAGCAAAATCAAGGCACTTCAGGCACATGAGAATTGAGAAGTTACCAAGATCTAGGGCACACTGAGGGGAATCCTGCATCAGACTGATAAAAGAATTCCTTTTGCAGTGACTGGCAAGTTTAGCCACTGTGACATGCAAGGTAGATAAGAAAAAACTAAAATCTGTTTGTCAAAACAGAATTACCTTTTTTAATTTTTTTTTTGGTATTACTGTCCAAAATCCATGTCTATCTACTTTCCATAGTTATGTATCTGGAAGGTATTTAGCCAAAGAGTTGGGTTTTTTTTTCCTAATGAGCCCTCTTTCTCTTTCCACACGTTTGTTGCAATAATAAAAGCACAAATAACAGGTGAAACGAGCCCTAAGGTCCTTGGCTTGTCTCATAAGTTTTTGGTTCATCCTCCCAGCACCAGCTTTTTTTTCTTATAGCTGGAGTTACCTGAAAGGACTTTCAGGATCTGTGAATCCCATGGTGACCTGGGCAGCACTGGGATGTAAATGACAGAGACATAGGAAATGCACCTTCTGCTCTGATTTCACCTCTCTAAAACATCATGAAAATCAGCATTTCTGGGATCTACACCTGAAAAAAGCTACTAAAGAGCTGACATTAAATACTTATCCAGCTGACTCTGCACACCATCCCTCGGCAGGTGGTTCTCAGGACTGTGGAGAGGGAATGATGTGACAGTACTCATACCTTCCCCCAGCACTGTGGGGACCCAGCTGGCCTTTCCTCCCCAACTGCCTGGGATTAGGATGTCTAACCAAAGGTTTACTAATCCCATTTCAATGGCTCTGACAGAGAACACACAGTTTTCTTCAATCTATTTAAGAGTCTAAAATAACTTGGTTTTTCTTTTCAAGAGGAAACTGTTGCTTACCTGTGGTCTTCCCTGCAGTCCTGGAGCTCCTGCCAGGTGGTGGCAGGAATTTTCCAGCAGGGCGGTGTTCTGCATCTGGAAAAGGAAGGACAGGTATTTTTATAGATTCAAGATGGGAAACCTTCAATGTCTGGGGCAGGAGGGAGACAAAAGTAATTTTATTTAGCAGGGCAGATGTTCAACCTGCTACAAAATATTGTTCTTGAGCACAGAGGTCTCTCCATTCCTCCTAAAACAATAAAAACACAAGGAAAAAATGGAATTCCCTTATAAGAGAGACAGTGCAGGATGCTGAAGTTTGGCCTGATCTGTGCTTCTTTGTTCCTCACAGTGGCTTTGATGCAAAAGATTGCCACTGCCATTACAACCTCCCTCAATAAACTCAGCTCACAGCTCTGCTTTCCTCTTATCCTGCCTTTCCATCTCAAGATAACTTTAATTACGGGCTGCAGTGCATGAACTCTTTAAACTTTTAGACACCACTTTGGGATACCTAATGCCTTCTCTTCTGGAGGCTCCTCTTCTTGCTCACCAGTCTCACAGAGAACACCCCCGTAGTTCACTGACAAATCAAACTTGCTGTGAGCCTAAACCCAGGATCTTTTCCCAGACAAATCTTCCTTTGTGGCATTCAGCAAAGCCAATTTGTTACTGCACACTACACAGGCACAGTGGGTTTGACACAAGTGGCTAAGTTTGTGTTGATGACAAAGGACTTTTCTTCCCCAAGGAAAGATAAAGGAAGGGCTGTAAATTCAAAGCACGAATGCACTTATGGGACTGCATCACTCCCCTTCAGCTGATGCATGATGTTACCACAATCCCTGATTTCTCTCTGCTTCTGAATAATCATAAAATCCCACAATGGCTTGGGTTGGAAGGGACCATCTTGTTCCAACTCCCTGCCAGAAACTGTCAGGGCTCAGAGCTGTTTCTCTCTGGGTGTGAGGAGCCAGGCAGCCCCAATTCTTCTCTGAATATTTCACATTAAAAGAAAACAGTGGGAGCTTGTAGTCTGCTGCACTAAACCTTGCAGTATCAATAACCCCACAGTCTGCACAGTGATTTAGTTTTAAGAGGCATGGCTATACATTTCCTGCTACAGGAGGAAACTATCAAATTTACTGTGCTGAAAGATCGATGCTGGCACACATCACTGAACTCTGAGAAGCTTTTGACAGCAAAGGTCTCCATTCCTCTCTTCATTCTCCTCCAGGATAAAAAGAAATTCTTAAGAAATCTGTTTTCTTACTGACTGGTCACACCTTCAATCTCCTTGAGCACAGGGCAAGGCTGAGGCATCAAGCTGAAAGTCTGGCACCACAGTTAGGGGCCCACATTTAGGTGTGAGAGCTTTTGGGCTCTGTTCTTCAGTTTCTCTGATAGAGAGGGTTTAAAATGCATGGTTTTATTTACTGATCCTGCCAATTGCTCTGATATCTAATTAGTACTTATGGAGTACCTCAAGATCATCAGAAAGGGCACCAGGCCAAGCACAGCCACATTAATTAAATAAGCCACCTTGTAGGTGACCTCAGCTGGCTCCTGCTGGGTTCACTGCTTCATCTTAACTCAGCCAAGCACAGAATTTACCCCCACATTATTACATTTTCCTGTGCCTGAGAAAACCCCCAGCACTGGATTCCTTTGCCCAGGCTCAATCAATTCCCACACACCCTCCAGCTGAGGAGAACACAAACAGTAAAAACGTGCCTTACCAGTCACCAAATCTGCCTCTGTGAAGAAGAGGATGGCTTGTCTGAAGGTCACCTCTGGGGTCAAGGCCATTAGTGCCTGTGGGAGGCTGTCACCCGTGCTGAGCCTGTCCCTGGCCCGGGTCCATGCCTGCAGGGCGGCTCCCAGGGCTCGGAAGGCGTCGATGCCCCGGAGCACACACAGCAGGACAGGGCTGCACATCAGCGTGGCCAGGCTCCTCTGCCAGAGAGTGTCCCCAGCCTCAAAAGGGGTCATTTCTCTGGCCTGGCACCGAGTGAGATGGGGCAGCCACTTCAGGCCCAGGAGCTCAAGTCCTGAACTGGGCTCTGCTGCAAGTCAAGAAAAATGTTTTTAGCACCAGGCAGCAGCTTGTGTTTTGTAGAAGCTGTGCTTTATTTTGGACACAAACATTTTATTTCACATGGATTTTGTCCCTGCACAAGTTCCAATGCTGTTCTGACTTCTGTTTCATCCAGAATGGACTGTAATGCAAATATAGGAATATACTGGGAAAACCCACAAGATGCAAATTCTAAGAAATGCCATTACAGTGAAGAACAAAAAAAGGGCTATCTGGGAAATCAACAGGGAGCCACAGGGAGTAAGTGCCATGATTTGATTAGAGAGCACAGCTAATGGAGGAGAGTTGAAAGGGAATCACTGAGAGTACACTGATAACAATGTGGCTTGGCACAACATAATCCATAATTATGGATCCTTTAGCACCTCTCATAACACTTTAAGCAATGTTTAGCAGAATTGCAAACTACAGCAGAATGCTGACTTGTCTCTAAAGTAGTTTCAATGTTGTCAGAGTTGTAAAGTTGTCTTCTGACTATGTAGGAAGGTATTTAGGGCTCAGTCCGGGAGTGCTGGAAGTTTCTGTTGGCTTAGATCTCAGATACAGAACTTCACAGGATTTCAAGTAGTATTTCAAGATGGTTTTGGGGTGAGTTGGATACAACGCAGTGTAAGACAGGCAGACTTGAGCCCTTTGTGCCTACAGCTCCTGTGTTATCACACTTCAGTGCAACCTGCACATGAAATTACATAAACTCCCTGTCCTGCCTAGGGCTGGACAGCCCTTTTCATGCACATGTGAGCAGCCAGCATGGGGACAGCCCCGCTGCTCCTCCCGCGGGGGAACCGGAGCGTGAAGCCATCAAGGGCTTTGCTTCTGCTCACCAAGGCTGTCACTGCACAGAACTGAGCCTGTGACTTCCAAATTCCTGTCCCACTTCCAGCCCAGCCTTACCTCCCTGTGCTCAGGGAGGGACACAATGCTCTGTGTTACATAAAATCTCTGCAAGCCCAAGCACTACTTGGAACTCATTTGATGCTCTCTGAAGCAAATTATGCCCACCTGAGCTGTTTGTGATTGCCCATAACAAACCAAGAGAAATTCTTCAGCTCTCTAGGGGGGTAACAAAGAAACCCATTCTTCCTGAGGCCCCTTCACCACATTTTCCATTTTGTTCCTGGTCTGCTAAAAAGAGCTACTCAGGATAACCCAAGGTCTCCAGCTCTGGGGTTACCTGCACTCCAAGCCTGATCCCTGGCTGGGGGCAGCAGGATGTGCTGGAGGAGCTCTCCAGCACTCTTCAGAGCCTGCATGCCCACCACTGCCAGCATCACCACCTGCTCCATCCCGGGCTCAGCAGCGTAGGCTCGGTGGCACAGGAAATCCAGAGGGATGTGCTGGGGCTCTGGCACTGCACTGAGGTTTCCTCCTGCCCAGGGACAGCATCCAAACAAAACTGTTACCCCATGGACACATCTCAGGCTTTCTGCTGTGAAGGAATTGCATAAATCCCAACCAGCATTTCACTGTCTCCTCACATTGCAGTTCAGGAAAAGCCTCCTGAATGAGGAATATTAACACAGCAAAGTCCCTCTAATTAGTCCCAGTCCTTCCCTGGAATTACATTTTGCCATGTAAAGCAAATACCTTCCTTGTAATTTTGATATCCTTATTCACACCATTAGGCAGAGTTGATAGATCTGTACCAAAATGATTTAAGGCACCAGTTTTGGGTTGATAACTAATGACTGACTTCACATTAAATCAATACCTCATTTTGCTTTCCAGGACACTTCAGGGCACAAAACTGGGAGCTAATTTGGGGATTGCTGTAACACTGTACTTCTATCCCAATCCTGTTGGGAACAGCAGAGCCTGGAGAATCCCTGGCCCATCAGAAATCCCTGTTTGTTCCATACTGATTCACTACATAATTATGTAAGCAATTGTATCAATAAACATTCCTTTACTTACTTATTCCTACATCATAACATTTCATAATGCTGGAGAATTGTGAATTACATGCATTAAATTTTCATTTTTCCTTAGGATTTAGAGTCAGTTTGGTTTTGGAGAGCAATATATTTAAACTCAGAGTCCTGGCATCCAAATTTTCAAATAATTACATTAAATTAAGCTAAGTTAACTTACTGAACACATAAAAACCCCCAACATGTAGTTAGTGAAATAAACATGGGATTTTTTTACTCCAAGTGTACAGAACTAGGAGGTTTAAGACTCACCCATGTGAGTCATAGATTAAGAACAGAAAACCCATTTCCTTGCTGTTTGAAATCCTATCAATCTCCCAGCTTTGAATGAATGAGTTACCAAAGTGAATACAACTGTACAAACTGAAATGTAGAATATCCAAGTAAAATGAAATTGGAAAGTGCCTTTTCTGCACCTACAGAACTATAGCTGCCAGCATTTATCACTTCAGCACATTCCAGTTCTACACACAACCACCAATTTATCTCATTTTAATATTTTGACTTCTCTTGAAACTATGGGAATAAATACATATTGATTGCCTATTAATCTTCTAATTATCTTAATTAGGACTTAATTGGATGTTACTGTGTCAAGTTTCAATAATTTCTTTTTGCATGTATCTTTTAATTTACTTGAAAAAGGTATTTTCACTTTGATTTCCATTGATTCTTCCAGGAGAATTACTGTGATTGACTGGCAGCAGAACAGTAAATGAGATCCTACAGACAAAAGCATATTCCTAATGGCTTTATCCAGGAAAATCCCTTGTTAGTGTGGCTGCTCCATCCCTGCAGTGTCCAAGGGCAGGCTGGACAGGGCTTGGAGCAGCCTGGGAGAGCGGCAGCTCCCTGCCCATGGCATGGGATGAGGTTGGAGTCCCTCCAGCCCAGAGCACTGCCTGGTGTGTGCTCCTGGGGAAGCCAGGCTGGGGCAGGGCCCCTGATGTACCCAGGCTGGGCAGAGCTCCTGATGTACCCAGGCTGGGGCAGAGCCCCTGACATGCCCAGGCTGGGCAGAGCTCCTGATGTACCCAGGCTGGGCACAGCCCCTGATGTACCCAGGCTGGGCACAGCCCGACATACCCAGGCTGGGCACAGCCCCTGACGTACCCAGGCTGGGGCAGAGCCCCTGATGTACCCAGGCTGGGGCAGAGCCCCTGACATGCCCAGGATGGGGCAGAGCCCCTGACATACCCAGGCTGGGGCAGAGCCCCTGACATACCCAGGCTGGGGCACAGCCCCTGACATACCCAGGCTGGGCTCAGCCCCTGACATACCCAGGCTGGGGCAGACATACCCAGGCTGCGCAGCGCGGCCGCGGCGAACGGAGCCCCGTGGAAGCAGAGCGACGGCTCCTCTCCAGCAGCTGCAGGGGGGAGGCTGTGCCCGCTGCCAAGGCCTGCCTCTGCCAGCTCCTCCATCAGCCCTGTGCTCAGAGCAGCAGCAAATGTGAGCATTGGACATGAAAACACTCTGCTGGCAAATGTTTGAGTCACTGGCCACAGCTCCGCTACAGACTGAGCTTACCCGAGACACCACACACAGCTGAGCCATCCCCTCTCCCCAAAATCACTTGGGCCACTTAAAAAGGGCCAAGGAGCTCTTGAAAACTGAGGCTGGCCCACAGCTTTCTCTGTTTTTTTCAGCAGCACCCAGGTGTTTCTATCCCCTTCTAACTCCTGCTGGGAACTGAAAGGTGGAACAAGTGCACAGCTGTTGCCTCAGAGCTCCTGAATTTGAATAAATATCTTAAATAAGGTGGTGCCCACTAGACTAAGAGTCCCAAATCTGAGCCCAGTGCTCACAAGAAGGCCCTCAAGGTGTCTCACACTTCCAGGCATGTGGCCAAAGTCCTGCATCCCACAGGGCCCTCGTGGGCAGGGAGGTATTGCTGGGGTGACAGACCTGAACAGAGACATCATGTTCTGCTCCTGTGATTTCCAGCCTGGAAAATATCCCGTTCCACACCACTTTTACAGACACTAAGTGCTTAAAGCCACAATCTCTCAGCTCCCATTCTCCCTCTAAAGAGCTGGGCTGTGCACAGACAGTGCATTAAGGTGTTGCATACAGTACATTTCCACAACAATTAGTTCAGCCTTCTGTAATAATGTTTCAGGTCACAGTTTTAAAGGCTTGTTATTTTTAAAATTACTTTGTACACATTTGATTGCTTCCTACTGTACAAGCCTGTCAAAAATTCACTGCAGTGGAGCATGGGAAATGGATTATTGGTGTTAAAGGCTGATGGCAAACCGTGGATATCAAATGTACCACTGACAATCACCTGCTCCTCAAAATTCAAAGGGTATGAGGCACCAAAAATGGGCCATCACTGTCCCAGCAGTATTGCCTGTTGTTTAATCAAATTCAGGGCATGGCAGAAAGCAAAGCTTGGACAAAAATATGTAGTGTTTGGACTTCAAGACAGAGATCCTTACCCACCTATTTATCTGCTCTGTTTCAGGAGTATTTGTCAGATTTTAACTTGCTTTGAAAATTGAACAGCATTCGAGACTTTGGAGGGACAACTGCTTTTCATATTGATTACAAATGCAGAATTTCTCAGTGAGGTATTTACCCTACTCCAACCTCAGTGCTATTCTGCACTTCCCAGAGGCCAACCCAAAGTTTATGGGGAAAGAATATCAGCTTCCCCTCTCCAGGGCTCTGGAATATGGACTAAGATGTCTTTCTGCAGTACAGGACTGATGAAAATAGCACAGAACACATGGAAAGAGGCATTTGCAAAATCTGTCACAAACAAGAGAAAAACTCTGAGTTCTGTAGCATGAGGGAAAATATTTTACCTTTCCAGACTACCCTTCATTCCAGCCCCCCTATGGATTTCTAGTGGAAATTTCCCCGTGCAAAACATGAACACAAAACATCATCTGTGGCACTGAGGGAAGCTGCAGAAACTGCACTTTTTAATGAGCAACTTTCCCTGGGTGCAGAGGCAGCAGGTGACACGGGGCTGTAATTACTGTGCCATGATTAATCCTCTGTGTCTGCACATGTTTTCAGAACATTCTGTGATAGTCTCAGGAGAAAAAGCCCAGGATTATTTGAATTGTCATTGTTTCCCCCCTCCCAAACCTCTGAATGTTCTTTCCTATTGTGGATAAATTAAAGGAAGCAATTGGGCTGGGCATGAATGTCTCCACAATGGGCTGTGTGGGATGGTGTTCATGGAAGGGTCACCCACAGTGACCCCTTCTTGGGAAGGGATTTCTGTTCCCTCCTGACCACTTGCTGTTGCCTCTGATCTTCCCCTCTTGAGGTCCATGTCAACTGATCCTTAAGAAAACAGAAACTCAAATAAGAAGATTTAAGGCAGCAGCTTGGCTGGGTTTTGGCAGTCTCTCCACCTTTGGGTGCTTGGAAGTCACAAGGATGCAGAACTCAAAGCTGAGGTTGATGGGATCACATGCTGCCTTCAGGCTCAGTGGCACAGCTGGATTCTGGCTACCTGACCTCTCTGGGCAAAAAGAGTTTCTGAGAGGAGGTGATTGAGGCCATAAAATCCCAGCAAGTCCTGAGCTGGGAGGGACCCACAAGGATCCTTGAATCCAACTGCTGACCCTGAGCAGGATGGCCCCAACAACACCTTCAGGCATTGGGTGTGAGATGCCAAAGTCAGGCCCAGCTTTGAAGTGTCCAGGGACAAGGCTCACAAATCCAAACAGGAGATTACAACTTCACATAAAGGAAAAACATTTCCCATAATGATGGATTAAAGGCCCAGGGAGGCAGGAGAATCTCTGTCCTTGCAGATTTTCAAGACCTGACAGAAAAAAGTCCTCTGCATCCTGAGGGAATTCATTGCTGATGCTCTGCTGAGCAGGATGTTGGATGAGAGGCCTTCTGAGGCCCCTTCCACCAGGAACTACTCGGTGATTCTAAGTTCAAGAGGACTCCAGAGCTAAAGATCAAACAACTGGCAAAGGCCAGGCAGCTCTGTTGGATGTGTAGTAGTGACTGATTCACACCCTGGTCTGGAGATTCCTACAGCAACATGAGAAGGCCTTGATATTCCCAATAAATATTCCCTGCATTCTACAGCTGTGGCTGGACTGCTGATGTGGAACCACTGAAATGCAAAGCCTCCCTGCCAGGTGCTGGTAGGGCAGCATTACCTGTCAGCAAGGCAGGGATGTGATATGTGGCATTCTCCTTCCTCAGCAGCAGCACCAGGCAGTGCCTGCGGTGCCCACCAGGGACTTCTCCTCCTGCAGCACCAGCAGGTGAGCTTGAGCTCTTGCCAGGGCAAAAGACAGCAATCTGAAATAATGAAGGGCAGATTAGACTGCTAAATCCAGATGTAATTACTACAGGGCTCAAGCAAATAGATAAATTACAATGGCACAACAAGATACAGCTCATCGCTGAGCCACAGGAACTCCAATATCTGGGTGCTCTGCGTCATCTTTTCCTGAGACAGAGAAACTTAATTTAAACTCAAGGAAGAGGCTTAACACAAAATCATTCTGCCCTGCAGCTGGGCTGGGCTAAAATCACAGCAGTTGTAACTCAGCTGATAGGTGTACCATCCACCATAAGTGGATGTACCATAAGTCACTCTAAGATTATCTGGAGTCTCAAATGAAGGGGTGATTTTCACATTGGAGCAGTGGTTGCTGCTGTTAACTCCTTAATGGTCACTTAGCAACATGCTCCTAATATCTGGCTATTTGGGCTGCAGTATTCCATAAATAGGTTTTATTCATTCTACAAAATATTATGGGCAGGGACATATTGTTATTCCTTAGGACTGATCACAGAACAAGCAGAAAAGAGGGGATTTGTAGAGTTTGATTTGCAAAATTATGCATTTCCTGACTGACATAGCAAAGAACCCTCAGCATGATGACTTGAAGTGTGGGATCCACTCCCTTGTGAGAGGAGGTGCCATATGATTCCTGTGGGACTTATAATATAAGAAGGGCAGCACTGGACTTCTTGCATATGTTAAGTGTGACTGCAACCTGCATTTGTGATTATTGCCATTTTCTTAGGCTGACTTGTCAAAATGCCAAGTGCACTTTACCTCAAACCTATCACCATGTTAGGCAGAGCATCAAAGAAAGAAAAAATATATTTTTGAAAGCTCTTTTTAAAACCCATCTGGAATGCACTGAAGTAGAGGACTTCATGCTGAAGGGTCCAGAGGGACTGTGAAGTACATCACCAAATATCAGGCTGTTAGTGAAGACAACCACCTTTGCAGATCAGTGTTTTGGTTCATGGGGCTACTGCCAGCTCTTGCTTATTCTAACATCAGTGGCAAAATTCACATTTGTTTTAGTAGGAGCAGGATGATGAATTTACACTCCTGTTCTCCATGAGGGGCCAAGGCTTTGTGGGATTCTCCTACTAGGGAAAAAGGCAGCACTGAAAGCAGCCAGAGCTCCACTCACAGGAACAAGGAGAGCTGGAAAAGAGAGAACGAGTGTCCTCGAGCACTCACTGGAGGAGTGCTGGCACCATGAGCTGCAGGGCAAGGGGTGATCCAGGGCACAAAGGGCACAGTACCTGCCCTGCTGCCAGGCCCAGCACGAGGCCCTGCTGTGCTGAGAGCTGCAGCTGCCGCAGTCCTTGCAGCACAAAGCCCCGGCGGGCACAGGCGGAAAGCACAGCCCCATAGGCACGTGGAGGTACCACAGGTGACACCAGCAGAATGATGTCCCCTAGACCAAAGAAAGGGCAAGAAAAACAGCATGTTATTGTCACAGGAGCTGTGGTATCAATGCAAGGCAGCCCTCACAGCAGCTGCCTCCACCTTGAAGCAAACAGCTGCATCCCAAGCAGCGCCCTGTGTTTTATGGTTTGTTTGCTGCATGCAGCTCATCATGACTGCAATCCAAGGCCAGCCCAGAGTGGGAAAGCTTATGGCATCATCAGTAATATCTTTATGAATCATCAGATGAGATGAGCCAGCCTGTCTCCCAGGTCTGGGAGCTGCTCAGTGTGTTGGTGCTGGCCAGGCTGTGGGAGCTGTCCCTGTGCAGCCCCCAGCACTCAGGGCAGGACTGAGCCTTGTAGGCCTGACCACTCTCTGAGTGACCAAACAGGGCAACAAGAACTACTTGCTCTTGCTCAATTTGTCCACTCCAAAGAGCATGAAGCAGCTCTGGCCATTCCTCTGCTCTCATTCCTCTCTGCTGTTACTGGTGGTCTCAGCAATCCTGCTCAGCACCCCCTTCTGCTTCTTGTTGTCCCTCCTTTGTTCCTGCCTTTAACCTTCATCCCGGACCTTTACTTGACACAAGCTCCTGAAGCTCTGGACCACCTGTGATCTCACCTTTGGTTTGGTACCCTCTGAGGCCTCACAGGTTCCTTGGACATCGTGGCAATGGTACCAGCCTGCCCTGTCCTACCTGATCCTCTTCCAGCAGCTCTGGCTGCTCGAGCTCTCCTGGAGTTCCTCACCCCAGTACAAATGATTGTAGACACAACTGGAATTTACTTCGGGTTAGAACTTTGGGTTTTCAGACTCCTGTTCTCCAAGATGAATCCCAGGCTCCCTGCCAACCCTGAGCAAGCTCAGGAGAAGGAGCCTCCAAGACCTCCTGAGCAGCCCCCAACATCTTAAGCAGTGTGAGACAAGCTCAAAACTTTTCGCTGAAGCCTCTGACCTGCCTGAGCTCCCTGTTTTTACTATGACCTCCATTATTATACTTTCTCAGTTCTAACACAGCTTTTTTATCCCTCACAATGTGTATTCAGATCTCCATAAGCTGCCAAGAGTGAGCTCTGAGGACAAATCCTCAGTACCACTTCTACATGGGCTTCCTCTATGCTGCCTCAGTAATTTCTTGTCGTTTTAACCAATAGATTTAATGAGATTGGAGGATTTTTGGTTGTGTCCCCGTTGATTCTGAGGATAGGACAGTGAATATTTATATTTAGTCTAGATTTTGTGATGTGGATATCTGTCCTGCCAAGGCTCAGCCTGGTAGTTCAAAGCAACTGCACCAAAACAAGGGGAACCTTTTTGTATTTATCACTAAGGATGGGACAGGCAGGATGGTTCTTTGCCTAACATCTCTGTTTGGCTTTACAGCTTTAACACTGGCTTTTACCTATATTCATTATGTGGAAACTGTCAAAATCTAAGACTGTTGGTGAGAAGATTTTGGTTCCACTCCAGTTGATAATACTTTAAAAAACATTTTTTGCACACACATATCCCAAATCAACAAGAATATCTGCTTGGGTCACCAAAACTCTGATAACTGAGAAGGGGCAGGTCTACCTTGCTGCAGTACCTCTGCTCTGCATGGGTAAATATTCCTGTCTCCAAGAGGAGCTGCTGGAGACCAGAGGGAAGGAGTCACTCAATGTTTTTTTGTTCTGAAAACCCCAAGGGTGTCTGCTCCCAGAGCAGAGTTTCAGCTCCTCTTGCCAGAGCAAAGTTATCTGAGGAGCAAAGCTTGACAGTGACTTCTGAGGCTCCATGCAGATGGAACGTGGTGTGGTGGAACTCAGCAGCCCACAGCAAATGTGAATCATTAACGGCCATAAAAGGAAGGGGAGGCAGCAAATGTGACTCATTCCATCAGTAGCCACCAGCTGCCATCAATCCCAATCCCAAATAACAGAGCCAAGGGCTGCCTGCCAAACTACCTGAGTTAACATGAGCCAAAAGATGAAAAACTGTCTCAAAATTGGTTTTTTCCTTTCTCCCTTCTCTATTTTCCTTCCCTTCTACTCCTTTTTCATCTTTTTTGCCTTATGCTTCCATCCTTTTCTCATGGATTCTTTCCTTTGGCAATGTAATTCCCCATGCCTTCTTTCTCTGTCACTCCAATCCTGCTTTCCTTCTGCCATCTCCTCCCTGACAGCTGCTGAACTTCTGCTCCCCTCAGGCTTCATTCCTGTGAAGGAAATTCCCACCTTCAACTGGGCCAGCAGAAACCATGAGCCAAGAGCACTGGCCAAAAGCCCCCTGCACCCCAGATGTGCTGTGCCAGGCCCACTCCAGGGGATGTTGGCCTCTGCAGCAGGAGCCCAACACCTTTTAGCCAGGCAGGTGTCCCTGAGGCACAGTCTGCTGCTGGTTAGGTACAAATTCAGGGGCTGAACACTGCTCCTACAAAGGGAAAATGGGGATGTGAGTGGAACCAGGTGGTGATCTGTTGATATTTGTCCCATAAAATGCTCTCCTTTCTGACTGTGGTCAGTCCTGCCCTAAATGAAGCCCTAACCTTTTAATTCCCCTGATTATAATATTCAGCAGGAGAGGCAAAGGATCTCTGATCAATAAACCAGCAGTTTAAGGACTCTGTTAACTCTTCATGTGACTGCTTCTTTGATGAACAGGTCCCTCTGGGCAGAGGTTTCCTGTGAAGGGTTTTTTTTCTTTTTTCCCCCTTCAGTGATATCCAAGCAGCCCCCAGGACTCCAGCAGCTGCTCCCATGAGGGGGATGAGGCTGTGCCACTTCTCTGCTGCTTCATTTGGGCAACAGTGTCCCACTAGAAATTCATTCCTGCCTCCAGAACTGGCCAGGTCACAGCCCTGAGCAATCCAGGGAGGCAGAACTGTCTTAGGTGGGCTGGAGTAAAGTGGTGTTATCAGTGAAGGAGAACTGTAAACCCTCAAATTTCATTTCCTAACACTGACCTTTGGTAGTTGAGACAAGCATGGCTGGAGGTCGAGGCAGCATCAAGCCCTGGAGGTCAATTTTTTCTTCATCTGCTCCTGCCCCAGCTGGTGAAGGTCTCTGAGAGCTGCAGAAAAATGATAAATATTAAATGAAAAATATTAAAAGGTTCTGACTCAAACATACTTTCTGTGACAAATCCAAGGCCACAGAAGCTTCTCTGGTAAAACTGCTTTACTGGAAAAGCCATTTCAATCCCTTGTCCGTGACATGAGCTGCATCAAGGTCTCCCTGACTGAACATCTTTTCATATCACTCCCCCTGAGGCTCTCTGTGTTCAATTAAAAGTAGCTAATGCAAAGTAGTCAGCTTGGCAAAGAAATCTGGGAATCAAGAAATATGTCAGGCTGCACCAGCAGAGCTTTTCCCACCCACAGACACATCCTAGTTGCTATTCACTTTGGGTTCTTTAGGCTGAGTTTAACCAGTTTGAAGGGTTCGTGTTAGGCAACAAGCACCATCCAGTCTGGCAGGGATGTTCCTGCCAGCGAAACTTCCACAACATTCCTGCACATCCAAAAGGACCCAATCAGGACAGGGTGAACAGAAGGTGTGGTAGAAAGCCAGGGACTGTCTGGGAACAGTTTTGGCTGGGACTGTGAGCTCAGGCTGCTCAGGCAAACCTGCCTCATCCCTTGCCACCACCACGGAGCTGGCTGGAACTCATCCTGCTTGCTCACTCCCAGGAGCCCGTAGCATTTGCAAGTCTAATCTGAAAAGGGCAATCTGAGCTGCAGTTTGTATTCCTGTCTCCCAACAGACCAAATTACCAGCATTAGGAGAAAGACAAGTGCATTATTTAGGAGGTAGCACTGCTCCGGACTGAGTTATACCAGAGGAGCAGAATTCATCATCTTTGTAAGAGGAAAAAGGAATCCCTGAGGAAAATAAACAAATAAAAAGAATCAAACTCGACCAAATTGATGTTTTTTTTGACATCTTAAACATCAAAATGGTGAGAGTTGCTGGTTGTGGCTGAGAGCAGAGCTGAACTCTGACACACAATCCTCCACAGCAATCCACAGGTTAATTCCACATGGCTGAGCTTTGCCACTCACAGAAAGCACTGACAGCAGTGCAGAGGATCTCACCTCCAGCCTGCTGCCTCTGACTGTGCCACCCTGTCCCCAGGATTAGGCAGGATCCCTAAAAACCTCTTCAGAACCTGCAGGTCTGAGCTTTCTGCAGCAGAGTTTCTCATGCAGTTCAAGGTTTATAAGCCACCCTTCATTTTCACACACTTCTCTCATCATCCTCCAAAGAATCTTTTCCTACTGAATCCTTTTATCAGTTGATAAATAGGGCAAAGTCAGAGGTTTCCTAGGAGAGGGTCACTCACTGGCACACAGCCTTGCAGCACTTCTCCAGCACCAGGTTTCCAAATTTTGTAGCAAGAGTATGAATTAGGGGCCCAGATTGCATGGAACAGGGAATGGGAAGCAACTGCAACTGTCCCACACCTGACACATCTAGGACCTGAGGGAACAGGAGCTGGAGCTGTGCCAGGGGAGGTTTAGGTTGGATATTAGGAAAAGGTTCTTCCCCAGAGGGTGCTGGGCACTGCCCAGGCTCCCCAGGGAATGGGCACAGCCCTGAGGCTGCCAGAGCTCCAGGAGGGTTTGGACAATGCTCTCAGGGATGCACAGGGTGGGATTGTTGGGGGTCTGTGCAGGGCCAGGGGCTGCCCTGGATGATCCCTGTGGGACCCTTCCCACTCAGGATATCTGCTGCAGGAGAGAGAAGGATTTCTGCAGACTGCACAAGTGGCTCAGAAATGCACAATTAGAGGGATTGCTCCCCCTGCACTCCCGTGCTGCAGGACCCTTGGAGGGCTGCCACAGAGTGCCTGCCTGCCTCCAGGGCTCACTGCCTGCGCCTCAGCAGCTCCAAACCACCCGGGGCAATCACCTGGAAGGCGGGGGCAGGATTCCAGGCGCTCTCCCTCCGAACCAGAGGCACAGCTCCCGGTGCACCCGGCTGGGCAGGGGCACGGACGCGACGGGCTCCGCCCTGCCAGAGCCCCGGGTGATGTCCTGCAGGATGCCGTGGGCTTTGGGCCCTCTCACACCTAATGCCACCACTGGGGGCACCTTGCCAGGCTCTGAAGTGTAGGAGGAAGGCAGCTTTTCTGTGAAAACAAACACATGTGTGAGTAAAACATGGAACAACCCACCCCAAAGTCATTCACACCACTCAAGGGCTCTTTTCAGATCTGTCAGAGCCAGATTTCAACAGAGGCACCACATGGTTACCTGCCCTGGAGATCAATCACCTGGTTACCTGCCCAGGAAATCAATCACCTGGTTACCTGCCCTGGAGATCAATCACCTGGTTACCTGCCCTGGGAACCAGCTGGTTACCTGCCCTGGGAATCCACCTCCTGGTTCCCTGCCCTGGGGGAGAGATGCTGGCAGCACCTGCACGTGTTTACCCAACAGCAAACCTGAGGTTATTCGAGGCAATCTGTTGAAGAAAGAGGAATTGTTTGCCTCATGTTTGCTGTGAAAAGTTATTGCAGAGCAGGTGATGCACTGGAAGTGTCCCTGCCTGTGGCAGGAGTTGGAACTTGCTGGTCTTTAGGGTCTTTTCAGCCCAAACTGTGACTCCAAGCCAGCACTTCACGTTCCTCTTGTTCATCACCACAAGCAAGGCTGGTGGATTGAAGTACAGGACAAGAACAGGGGCCTGAGCAAAGGGATGGTTTTGAAGGGCATCACAAAATGGAAATCTGGGGACTTCTTTTTTACATTATTTCCTTCTGGATTAAATACAGATTTTGTACAATGCTGTAAGGCCCAGGCAAATATTTGATTTGCCACCTTTAATTTTCTGCCAGGGTTTAAACTCTGACTTCCCTATGACTCTGGCAAACCTTTCTCCAGCACAATTGGAGCCCAGGAAGTAACTCCAGAAAAAGCAAATTTGCCTCCTTTTCAGTTATTACTGCAGATGTCAGAAAATGCAGCAAGGTGTGTGATTTTCTTCCCTTAGGTTTAAAAACATATTCAAATGTATCATTTCTTGCATCAGAATCAGAAGCAGAACACAAATCTCCAGAGCAGGGAGATAATGGAGCAACTGGCTGTAAATATTTAAAATAATAATTTTGAGTTATCAAGCTAAGGGTAAAAATCTAATTTACAAACTTGCACAGCAGTTCTCAGCTCAAATGAATTGTCTCTTCACAGGAAATGTTCTTAAATAATGGTGCATGGTACAGAGCATTGAAGCAGATCTGCTGCCTGTCAGCTCCTAATGACTGCAGGTTTTATGGTTTTCTTATTCATTTCTGGAGCTCTCCTTCATTTCCAGCTCTCACCAGGAAAGTGTTCTGTGCACAGCACCCAGACAGCTGCAATCCCACTCCTAAGGCAGCCTGCTCCTACTGCTTTCAAATGCAAAAAGGGAGCAAGGAGACTGGGGAATTTTCTCTGCTTAAGCTGGTCTTCATTCCCCTTCTGCCAGAGGAGAAAGAAGCCCATTTTTCTCCCTCTCAGCCTGCCTGTGCCTGTCCCAAGAGAAATGGATTATCTGTGGCACATTTGAACCTCCAGAAGAACTTTATGACTTAAAAAGAAGCACAAGCCACAAGCAATCTCAAAACTCTGCAGCTAAGGGCACACCTGTTGCTCTGGAATATCTGAATATTATTGTGCTGCAGCAACAACCAATAACATTCCATAATGCTTTAAGGCAGGCTTCATCACCTCTGTTTCTCAAATGGGAGAAAATAAAGATTTGACTGGTACATGCCAGTATTTGATACATTGGTGTCTGATGTTCAAGACTTTGTGATTTGAGTTCAGAGCCCCAGATTGTGTTTATTTACCTTATCCTGCTGGTCTCCCACCTCAGATGGGATTCTATTAAATAATGTGACATTTTGGTGATGGTTTATCAGCCAATGCAATTACAGGCCAGATAAATCAGTACTCCTGAAGTCCCAGAGGCAATGAGATGGGGGAATTGTAGAAAAGGGAAGCTGGATTTTCTGCAGCTCAAACCTTAGGACTATCAGTGGGGAACTAAATGATTTTATTTAACTCACATGAGCCTGTCCCTGGAGCTCAGGGCACTGAAATGGGTGAAAGCTCACTGCAAAGGAACAACAGCTAAAGTTTGAGACCCAAAAATGCATGAAGAGTTAAAAATTCAGCTCATGGATATTCAGCACTGGGAACAGAAAGAAAGAAACAGTCAAAGCTATTCTATAATTTTTTTGGGAAAGATAGAAGAACTGATAAAGCAACCCTCATGCAAATCTGACTCTGACCACCCTTCACTTAGTGCATTTACAGATCTGGGCCTTCCTCAGCAGCATGGAAGCTGTGGAGGAGAAGCAGAGCCCACCTGAGCTGGAGAGCAGCAGGTCCTGGCCGGGGTAGAGCAGGCGGAGGCCGCACACATCCAGCCCAGAGCCCAGCAGCAGCTGCAGAGTGTGATGGGTCTCCAGGGGGCTTCGGAAGAGAGCCTCAAACAGCAGCACCATGGCAACCTGGAGAGCCAGAGGAAAACATGGAAAAAGCAGGGAAATGCTCCCAAGCCCAGCAGAACCTCCGAGCTGCAGCCCTGCTGCTCACCTGTAGTTCCCAGGATGGATGTGCACTGCCAGAGCTACAGAGAGGCTTGGGTTTGGTTTGTGTTTATGTGCAGTTCACACACGAGGCTCTTGGCTTTGGGCTAAAGCACAACTATCAATAATTATCATTTAATCTATTTCTGCTGATGTAACTTTGCCTTTTGCCACATAAATCTAATAGTGAAAAACTGCAAAGCCTCTGGGGCAGAGCCCACAGTGCATCCCTTCTGCTGTTCACTTTGTGCAGCACCATTTGCCCATCTTTGGATGATTAAATAATAATAGACCAACTGGTTGTGTCACTATACCTTTAACAGCACCAAAATCAACACTAAAAAAAACATCAAAAGGCAAACACATCACTGGTACTGTCCCAGATTTACATTTCAGAGCCTTCTTTACCAGTCTAATCCATTTCAGCCTATCCTGGCAGGTAGGAAGACTCACACCAACACATTCTGAATGTTTATACCCAAAAGGGAAGCAAATTATTATTATTTTCCCCATCAGAGAAACAAATAGTTTTAAAAAGCAAGCGCTTTACAACAGGGAGTTGTGTGGTTCTGTGGATAATAAATTGTCTAGCTGGGGATCAGACAAGGTGATTTTCTGCCCCCAAATTCAGGCATGGTTCTCCTGGATGTTGAGCAGCTCAAGGATTTCCCCAGCTCAAGGTTTATGGCTGCAGCAAACGCCAAATGAATCCATCACTACTGGACACTTGAAATGAAATGCTACTGCCCCATAAAGACATTATGAGTCTTTACCATCATGATAAATGAAGATAGAAATTTACTCACATCATATAAAAGTGGTCTAATTAGGAATAAAAGCTCCATTTCTTTATGTTTGTCTAGCTGAAGCTCTCCTGCTATTAACCCAGTACTCACAGCAGCCAGTAAGGAAGAATTTTCCTGTAGCTGCTCTGAGTCCCTGGGGCGGCCTGGGCTTGGGGCCAGCTGTGATAACGGAGCCATCCAGCACAGGGAAGCCTCAGGAAGTGCCAGTGTCCCATTTCCTCAGGAGCCTGGCACTTGGCCTTGCTCTCCATTGCAGCTTGGTTGAGTTGTGCCTGGGCTGGTCTCAGACATCACCAATCCCAGCCTCTGTCTGAGCCCTGGGCTTTCTGCCTTGGTCTTGTCACTGGGGACTCCCACCTGCAGGGCTGTGCCCAATTCTGGGGCCACCAACACAAGAGAGATGGTGCCCTGTTGGAGTGAGGGCAGGGGAGCCCTGGAGATGCCCCCAGGGCTGGAGCCCCTCTGCTCTGGAGCCAGGCTGGCAGAGCTGGGGGTGCTCACCTGGAGAGGAGAAGGCTCCAGGGACACCTCAGAGCCCCTGCCAGGGCCTGAAGGGGCTCCAGGAGAGCTGCAGAGGGACTGGGGACAAGGCATGGAGGGACAGGACACAGGGAATGGCTCCCCCTGCCAGAGGGCAGGGCTGGATGGGATATTGGGCAGGAATTGTTCCCTGGGAAGGTGGGCAGGCCCTGGCACAGGGTGCCCAGAGCAGCTGTGGCTGCCCCTGGATCCCTGGCAGTGCCCAAGGCCAGGCTGGGCAGGGCTGGGAGCAGCCTGGGACAGTGGGAGGTGTCCCTGCACTGTGCAAAGCTCCAGGGCAGACATCAGGGTGAGCTGCTGACTGCTGAGAGAGTGGCTCATTGAGCCCAGCTTTGGAAATCTGCCTTGCTACCTAACCAGCTATGGAAATGTGGCTGTTCCACCCTGGAAGTGTCCAAGGCCAGGCTGGGCAGGGCTTGGAGCAGCCTGGGACAGTGGAAGGTGTCCCTGCCATGGCAGGGGTGGCACTGGTGGCTTTGAGGTCCCTCCAACCCAAAGCAGCCTGTGGCTTTGTGACCCTGGGCTGATCCCTGTTACTGCTGCTGGCCCTGCCCTGCTGCTCTCAATAACAACTCATTTCACATGGGTGAGGTCCTGAACATTTTGTGCTGCACTCCTAAGCAAGAGCTAATTGAAATCACTTTACCCTTCTCTTCTCCTGGGGTACAGTCAGTACAAATGCTCCCTACTTGTTCATACAACACACACAGTTACTCAAGGTCAGGCAGAACCAGAACCTTCAGAAATTTCTTGGAATGTTTCTGAGTTTAATCAAAGTTGTGCTGTTTACTGACTTACAGCCAAGTGGTTTCAGGTTATCAAAATTTTGTCTACTCTTACAGATTTGCACCTGGTTGGTAGCAATTTCTCCAACCCACACATTTCAAAGTTTAATCTTCTGTGGCTCAGAGCAATCAGCACATCAATACTGATGACATAAAATACTCAGCTGATATATTTAGGTCTGAGTGAAAAATACTTCAAAATCAGTATTTGTATCAAAGCTCTAGATTGAAATATTCCAGGGCACTTAATTGTCCCTCAGTGTCCCCCCTGAGCCCCAGGTGAGGAAGGAGGGGGTTGTTTGTTGCTCTTTACCTCGATGTCTGTGTCTCTGCAAGCCTCCATGGCACTGCTGTCAGGGAAGTGTTTGTCATCACTCTCAACTGTCTGCCAGTAAAATCCCTCTGGCACTGCAAACGCCTTCTCCACAGCCTGAAATGCACAAAGGACAGCTCTCACTCCCAGGTTACCCTGGTCCCTTAAAATAAAGCAGGAAAATCAGGATCTTATGGCCACAGAGCACACGAGGATGCAGCTGGTGGATTAAACTCAGCCCAGTATTGCTAATTTATATAATTTGCTTTCTTGCAACTATTCCAGTAGCTCCATTTAAGTGATATCCCACAAATATGAATCTGCAACTGCTTCCCAAGAGCCTGAGCATTCCCAGGGTCCAACCCAGTGACTCCCCAACACAGAGCACCCACAGACATCACCAGGAGCTGCATCCATCAGCTGAGACCTCAATTCTCCATGGCTGTGCTGAGCACTCAGCAGAAAAGGGCTTTGTGAAAGCAATGCTCTAATTAACCAATCAAATGGAAGGGTAGGGAAGGGATTGCATGAAATTCTACATGCCTGTAGCCAAAATAGCACATTTCTCCTGTGCTCATGTCACCACAAGTGACACATATCTGTTTGCCTCGTCGTGCCACATCCTCATGGATAGGCAAAAAAATGGCATTTAGGTCACAGCTCCACACAAGCACAGCATTTCCCAGGCTCAGCACCTTATTTTGTTTTTCATCCATTTTCTAGGCAGCCAAGCAAGCAACTTGTACAAGTGCAAGGGTAAGGATGTGTCACTCAGGAGAGGAGAATGTGCTGTGACTGCACGCTCTGTAAGCAAGGCCACAGTCCAGGGACAAAGGCAACCCTTGAAAGTCACATTTGTCAGCTTCTGGTTTGAACATTCCAGAAATACAGATGCATTTAGGCAGAGTTCACAGTGGGCAGGAATCATTCCAGGGATGAAGAAAAAAAAATAGTCACTTTTAAAACACAGGCTCAGGTGTAGCTCAAAGAAGCTTCACTACTTTTAAAGGCTCTACTTTGATTTCCTGCAGGTGTTAATTTGTCCTCAGCTTATGTGGACTGACCTTTTCAAAAACAGAAAAAGAAATTAATTTTCAACATGGTCTCATCAGGACTTTTGTGATGGAGAGAAAAGGGGCTAACCCTGCTTGCAGAAGCATCCACTCTGCTTTATGAGCTCCATATAATGCTGTTTAATTGTGTAATCACCTGAGAGATTTCGGGTGTGCTGCTTGGCAAATGATAGGCACTTCAGAGCATTCCACAAATGTTTCAAAGTAACAACCAGAAAATGAAATTCATTTGAATATTAAAGCCCCTCTGACAACTGCCTTTCCACTTCAGTAACCTTTTGTGTTGTCTCCTTCCTCTATTTCCTGTGCTTCGTGAGATATTTGCCTGAAAGCAGAACTGGGGATTTCACTTTTCACCTTGTTTCAGTCAAATCAACTGCACCAAACCAAGGGCTTTGGCATCTCCCAATGGATCTGTCCATTCTGTCCTGCAATCCATCAATCCCCAGCCTCTGCTGCTGATTTTACACTTGGTTGCTGTGGAAAATACCATCAGAGGAAAAGCAGATTTAAGGAAAGGGATCTTCCCCACTCCCAGTGCATGATGCCAGCTCCTATCTGCAGCAGTGGCACAGTGCAGTGAGCCCAGACAAGCCTCACAGAGTGGGAATGCAGCAAAATCCCAGTTTTCTATTTCTTCCAGCTGCTCCTCGAACAAACCTCCTGTCTGTGAATGTTCCATAAGGAAAAGAAGGGACAAATGTGCTCAAACCAGCACCAGCCTCTATTTCCACAGAAACCTTCAGGATAATCATCCAGCTCCAGGGCACAGGGTGGAAAATCCAAGGGGAAAATCCAAGGGGATTCCAGGGTAGAAATCCAGGGTGGAAAATCCAGGGTACAAAATCCAAGGGGATTCCAGGGGGGAAATCCAGGGTGCAAAATCCAAGGGGATTCCAGATGGAAATCCAGGCTGGAAAATCCAAGGGGAGCACCCTGGTGTCAGCTGTGGATCCATGGTGGTCCCAGGATGCTGCTCCAAGGCCACAGCAGGGGTGTGGCCACACCTGGAAGGCAAGGCCTGTGGGAATTGTTCCTGTCATCTGTCACATCTGTTTTCCATCAGCCAACCTGAATGGGAGTTCACAAACCAACAGAAAACAGAGCTTGAAAAGTCTTATTTCTCCCAGAAAATCCTTTTCCTCATGAATTAGAAAACAGACAGGTGGCTGCAGGATGAGCACCCTGCTTTGTCCAGCTTGGCTACAACATCCCAGTGGAGAGCTCCTGACACAGCCTTCCTGTGCCATCAACAGGGAAAAACAGGCAGAAAGTCACTTTCCCTGTGATGTAGGAGAGGATTGCATGGAGCCACTTGTTCTAATACTGAGCTGAACCCTTTTGGACACAAAAAGAGAGGGGGACCCTCTGCAGGCAGCTGCAGGAGCTTTCTCCTGCTGAAAGAACTTGGACACTATTTCTGTTTATGATACTTTCGTGCTACTTTTAATGTTCCCCAAGAGGGTGGGTGTGAGAATTGTGTTGGTTTCACCTTAGGGTTGGTTCCTCTCCCTCCTCCAGCATCACAGCAGCTGTAAATCCTTTCCCAAGCCTGTGGAAGCATCAGCTCTGAGTGCTGACCTGTCCCTGGTGGGAGGAGACTCCCCAAACCCTCAGGATGGTGAAGAAGCAGCCCAGCCTTTGATCCCTACCTGAAAACATCTCTCCAGTGAGGCTCTGAGGCCTGAACCAGCCTCCCATCTCCTGGGAGAAGGCTCCTCCCAGGGAGGAAGGCTCCCTGCACTCAGCCAGCAGCAGCTGCACAGCCCCAGGGATACTCTGACTTCTGCTGTGACAGGTTTCAAAGCCCAGCCTCACAAACCATGACCATCCCCATGTGTGTCTCCAGGGCTTCTTGCAGCACTGACATCCTCTCCATCCACACTGCCATGAGCAGGATGAGCAGGGAGGGAGGCACATCCATAAACTGCTGGTTTAAGTTATTCCTTTTTGCCAATTTATCCTTATTAGGTTTGGGTGACAAATTCCAGCTTCTGCCATCTTAAGACACTGGAAAAGGCCACTTTGTGCCACAGCTGGGATTGAACACACACCAGTTTTCCCAAAAACATTTAAAAGAAACCCCAAGCTCCTGCTTTGTTTCAGATAATATTACCAAGATGAAGGCAGACAGTTGTGGGAAGGAAACTCACAAGAGAACAAAAACATGCTGTAAAATCCTCAGCAGAAAGAAGAATAAGCACATTTCAGAGGAGACTGGAGCTGCAGCAAATCCATGAATATTTAACTGTCCCACAGAAATATGACCAAGCCCGTGATCCCCTCTTTGTGCTTCCAGTGTTTTCTGTTCCCATCTCTGACAACAAAGGAAGAGCTTGTGCTGTCAGGTGATCTAAGAGAGTCTTCTGAGTTGCAAGGAGTCTTCCAGGCTGTTCCCAGTCCCAGCAGGAAAACAGAAACTGCAGGAAGCATCCCCATGTACTCCACAATCTCATCTCACACACAAGGCAAAGATCTGCTCAGCCATTATCTCTGTGAGACAACACCAAACCCCTCAGAGAAGGATGCTGCACTTGCAGTCCCTGCAGAGCCAGGGGGGAGCTCTGTGCTGAGGTAACCTCTCCCTGCCAGCCCTGCTGAGCACATCAGGAGCAGCAGAGAAAGCTCTTCTCTCTCTGTGTCTCACTCAGCAAGGCTCATGTCTGATGGGATTCACCAAATCCTGCCCCTAATGAGGCACATCACTCTCAGACTCTCTCCTCTCCGTGCTGCCCTGTGCAGGAGCAGAATTTTCCTGGTAGAATCCAGATGAACACAATGCTGTGTGTTCCCTGCACATCTTCCCTCCCCACTGTGCATGTTCTCTTCAGATGGCTGCAGAATTTAGTAAGGAAAGTGGAGGCACCACAGGAAGAGCCCAGGCAGCAAAAAATCTGGGATAGAGAGGGCCCAGCAAGGAAGACAGGCAGTTCTGGTGACTGTATTTCGGGCAGTTTGAAATGGATCTCACTTCCCCTTGTTCCCCTTCTGGATTGGGAAGAATGAGAGAGCAGCTCCCAGCCTTTGTGCCCACCAGCACCAATGGCAAAGCACAGTAGCTCAAGAGTTCTTTAAAGCTGCTCTTTTCAGGAATAATGAGTGATGGACACAATCTAAATGTGAGCTGTCAAATTTGAAGAAGAATGAAAACCTCTGTTTTATTCCTCTCCAAGCTGTGCCTTCATCTTTGTGCCAGCTCTGGTAGACATCAGTGTAGTCCTTCCTCCTTCTAAAGGTTAGAGGGTTTTATTTACAAATGCCAGTGGCTGCCTGAACTCCTGGCTCCATGAAAATAAATGCCAGACTCCAGCAGGATTCAGCCAGGGCCAGGATGTCACCTTCTGCCTCCTGAAGATACAGCCAGCAGCTATTCTGGGCTGCAGCTATGGATTATTTTCTATAAATGTAAACAGATGAAGTCCCAGGACAAACATTTCTCCCTCAGACAAGCCTTATCCATGTGGAATCTCCAGCCAGATGTGCTCTCACCCAAGCTGCTGGTACAATGTGAGCTGGCTGCACTGCAGACCCAGGCAAGACCTGAGCTTTTCACTAACTCACATAAAGAAAAGCCACAGGCAAGGTTTGGAAGCAAAGGGCAGGATGAATCTGTCCTTTTGAAGCTCCTGCTTTACAGCTTCAGCCTGGATGTCCCAGAGCCAAGAGCTGGGCTCCATGGCTGGCACTGCCAGTGCTGCAGGACTCACCCTGCCACGTCTGCTTTGGGTGAGCCCATGTGGAGGAGCTGTCCTGGGTGTTTCATCCCTCCCTAATGCCCAGTTCTGCTGCATAATAATCAGATCTTTCAAGCTTTGGAGAAGGAAAGCACAGCCCTGGGCTGTGAACTAAATCTGGGAGCTCACAGCAATGTGGGGATCGGGTCTGGGAGCTAAGCAAATTCTCCAGGGAGCTCAGGCAGCATCTCCACCCCAAAACATGGCCCAGCTTGGGTGCTGCTCACACAGCATGAAGTGAGAAAGACACGTGGGGCAATAACCCCAAATCAAAGCACAACTGCCCCCAGCAGAGGCACTGAACCACAGCAAAGCCCAGCTGCTGCAGCTGGGGATGTGTGGAAGGCAGTGCCCACCCAGCCACTGCAGAGCTGGGTGAAAGGCTCATGTGGCAATGAGTAGCAGCTCCCTGAGCAAGCCTCCCTCAGCACTGAAATTAAAAGCTGTTACAGCAAAAGGCAGTGGAAGGGGCTGAAGGCAACTGAGCAGGGCCAAGGCCATGGTGCTTGTCAATAAAATAATGTCACAGCACTCAGAGCCTGAGCCCAGAGAGCTCCGTGTTCTCCCTGAGCTCTTCTGAAACACAGACTCACAGACCTGAAAGATCCTCTGCAAGTGCCTCCCACTCCCTCTTCAGAGGCTGCACACAGAGCTTGGGAACCTCAGCTCTAAATCTGTGCCTCAAGTGCACAGAGCAACAAGTGCTGCATCTGGGGCTGCTTTCCACAGGGATTTCAAATTTCAGCAGCAATGGCAGCTCTTCATGTATCCAACATGGGTATTTCAGAACGTGAAATAAAGTATGCAACTTTCAAAGCTTCAGTGTGAGAGCTCCTATGGCAACACAGTTAACAGCAACTCCAGCAGGGAAAGCCCAGAAATCTGAAATTCCACATGAAAGCACTGTTCTACTTTCTGCCAGCCCCCTGCTATACATCAGCCTTGCTGTTAGGTCAGCCTTGTGCTGCTGAGCATTTTCAGCAGGCCTGGGTTACAATACTGGGGCAAATTCAGCTCCCTGGACCCAGTTCTGGGATTCTTATCTACAATTTGAAGAAAGAAAAAAAAAAGAGCTTTGCTTAAGCAAAAAATTAAGGAGGAAACTTTGTGTAGACCTGTCCTTAACCCCTGCTATTTGAAAAACCCACACAAACTTTGTGTCAGAGCAGGGAAGCTACTAAAGGAGCAGCACAAGGGGAACTGATCACCAGAAGGTGCAACAAAATTAATTTTCTGGAAACTTAAAATAAAAAATGTTCTTCACCTTGACTTAGGGATGTCTGTGGACAGAGGAGGAGGGATGGAGGTTCCCCTTCTTCCTTAAAAGCTGTGCCCTGACTCTGTCCTGGCTGGGAGCTCAAAGAGATGCTCTGGAAGATGACCATCAAAGGCTGCACCTTTTGGGCAAATGTCCCAATGTCCAGAAAAACTGAGGGAGAGGAAAAGAACTCCAGCATGGACCAAAGAGGCTGAGGAAAAGCAGCATCAACACTTGCTCTGAGTGTGTTGTCTGTATCCCTGAGGTGAATGTTTGCATCCTGAGGCTTAGCAGCAGAAGTACTTTTATTTTATGCTAAAATGAAGAAACCTCTTTCTGCTGACAGGGGACCTTGCACTTAACAGCTTCCACAGGGATGGTGTCACTCCCAACCCAAGCTGGGCTTTAATGAGTGCATTGTGAGCTGCTGCTCCTATCATGAGTGAATTGCTGCAGGTTAATAGGCTCATTGCACAGCACTCATAAAAATGCCTCCAAAAGGCAGCACAGGCAAAGCAATCTGTTTGAGGTCCAGAACAGGCAGAAAATGCAGCAGACAAATTGACTGAAAACAAGACATTGGCTCATGCACTAACAAACAAAAAGCATAAAGGTTATTACAATTACTGCTGGCAATTGCTCCCCAGATCACACACAGAGCTGCTCAGCACACAACAGCTTCCCTCTCCCTGCATTTCTATCCATTTTTTTCCACCATCCTGCCAGGATTTCTCTCTCAGACTCTGATCTACCTGGAACAAAAGCAGGGATTCACTGCATGCTCCTCCACCACGTGGGCACAGCTTCTTTGGGCTGCTTAGTTTTGTACACACTGCCTCAAAACAAACACAAATGTACAAAAAGCAAAGCAGGGATCACTGGCCTTGTACCAAACCTTCAGACCAAAGAAGTTAAAAGAAGATGATACTGAGTTTTCTATGCAGCACTCTTTGGTTGTTTTTTGATGACACTTGGGAACATTCTCAGTTGGTAGCACTTTGCAAAGCTCCAGGGCAGACATCAGGGTGAGCTGCTGACTGCTGAGAGAGTGGCTCATTGAGCCCAGCTTTGGAAATCTGCCTTGCTACCTAACCAGCTATGGAAATGTGGCTGTTCCACCCTGGAAGTGTTCCAGGCCAGGTTGGACAGGGCTTGGAGCAGCCTGGGACAGTGGGAGGTGTCCCTGCCCATGGCAGGGGTGGAACTGGATGGGCTTTAAGGTCCCTCCCAGCCCAACCCATGCTGTGATTCCATAAATCTGTGAAAAAGCCACAACACACAGTGGTCTCAGCCTCACTCAGGCCTGGGGGGCACAGAGCACTTGAACTTGGCAAGAGAATGTGGTTTTTAAATTGACATCATGTTTTCCATGGCATCAAGGCAAAGATCCACCCCCAGAAAGCGCCTGCTATCTTGCTGTTCAATTCCTAATGATTTATAATTCCTCTAATAAGGGATTTGCATAAAAGCCCTGGCTGTTTTAAATGATGCCTTATTTTATGCCTTAAAAGCATAGAGCAGATTTATCTTTTACGAGTACGTCAGACTCTTTATGCCTCTTGCTTCTGCTTGAAAGCCACAGTGACTGCAAATCAACAACACTAAGCCTCCTTTTCCTGCACACAAGTGGGATAAACCTTCAGGCAAATTGCTAAGTGCACTGCTAAACCCCTAAGCTTTCATGGCATTGATTCTCACAGAGTCATAGTAATCCCCAACTCTGGTTGAAATGGCAGAAAAGTTCTCATGCTACATAATTTTCAAAATTAAATCTTCATTGTGAACAAGAATTGCAGGCTTTGCCATTCCCTGGAATTGTGTCTCAAGGGTTTTGTTCATCTAAAAACATTGGGAAAAGACCACAATTGTCCAAAGGCTGGTGCTGCTGTGGGAAAGAAGTAAACAAAACATTCCCTCCAAAGGTATAGAAATATTCAGTGCTGCTTTGAAAACCCACTCCAAGTATTTACACCAAGGTAGGAAAGGCTGGTAAAGGCCTAGAAGCAGCATTGGATGCCCTTCAGGAATAAATTCCCCCAATTAGTATAAGGAATTCTTGTAACATTTCATAGGGTGGAATATTTGTTATGGAGCACTTGCTAATCAGACAGAAGTGAAAGGTTAATTATTATTCTGCTTCTAGACAGCAGTGAGTGCTCCTGCAGACATTTCCAGGCAGGTAAGAGATTGCAAGTGAGCACTTGGTTTGGAGAGGTGCTGTGTCCTTGTAGCTCACATACTTCCCTGAAATCCACAGATATTAAATCACAGAACTGAATCACAGAATATTCCAATATTAGTTTTCAAATTCTGTTTAAATCCTCTGCTAAAGCAAATGAGAATGTCTGTTAACACTGGAAAAACAACTTTTACTGGACCTGATCAAAAGATTACCAGAAGTCCAAGCATTTGTGTACAGTACCTGAGGGTCAGGATTAACAGCAGTGATGTTACTGAGCAGGACAGAGGGAATTGCAGGAGGAAGTGTGCACAGCTGGTTTTGGAAGTGACTGGCCAGTTCATCTCTCCACCAAATAAGATCTGGAAGCCACGTAGAGGTCAGAAATGCAGAAATCTTCTGGTAAAAGCTGGATGTTCCCTGGAGATGTTCTGCAGTCTGCAAAGAGCCAGTGGTTAAAAAGCTTTGGTGACGGTTTCAAAAACTCTGTCTGTAGCTTGTACCTGGAGCAGCTCCTCCTCTGCCCACAGCCCCCCCAGACTCCAGTTCCACCCAGCTGTGCTCAGATTCTCCAAACCAACCCCTGGTGTGACACCCTGCACCTCCCAAACCACTGCACTCTTCATCCCATCTCATGCCATCCATCAGCTCACAAACCCTGCTCCAAAGAGATCCCACCACCCTCAGAGGGGGAGAAAACCCCATAAACAGGCCCAAAAACCAGCCCAATACAACGAAACATTAACTTCCAAAGGCTTCCTTAGGGATATAAATGAAAACAGTTGTTAGTGCCCCATCCCTGGAAGTTTTCAATGCCAGGGTGCAGAGAGCACGGAGCAGTCTGGTCCAGTGCAAGCTGTCCCTGCCCATGGCAGAGGGTTGGAATTAGATGACCTTTAAGGTCCCTTCCAACCCAAACCATTCTGGGTTGTTTTTAAAGATTGAGGCTAATATTAATACTGATACATTAATATTAAATACTGCACTGCTAAACTACAGTTTTCCATCATTTAACCTCCCTTCTAAGCCTCATTGTTCTTCAGGTTTATTCTTAATTAGCAGGACTTTCAGAGAATAAAACCAGTGACCTCAAGGAGACCTAATTAGAAATTAACAGACTTAACAACTGTGCAGAACATCTTCTCTCCACCAGTTACTCAGAGGGAAGTGAAGGAACTGGTGTGGCCTCACCCCTGGTTTGAGTAGCTATGGGTGCCACAATATCAGAGGGATCTGAAGCTGTTGGAGTGTCCAGAGGAGGGACAAGGGCACAGGAAGGGTCTGAGGAGCAGCTGAGGGCACTTGGATTGTTCAGCTGGAGGAGGAGACTGAGAGCAGAGCTCAGAGGGGGCTGCAGCTCCTCCTGAGGGCAGCTCCAATCTCTGGGACAGGAACAGGGAATGGCTGGAGCTGGGCCAGGGCTGGATTTTGGGAAAAAATGCTGGGCAGTGCCCAGACTCCCCAGGGAATGGGCACAGCCCGAGGCTGCCAGAGCTCCAGGGGTGCTTGGACAATGCCAGGAACAGGGCGGGGTTGTTGGAGGGCGACAGGGAATGGCTGGGGTCAGGGCAGGGTCAGGCTGGATTTTGGGAAAAAATGCTGGGCAGTGCCCAGGCTCCCCAGGGAATGGGCACAGCCCGAGGCTGCCAGAGCTCCAGGGGTGCTTGGACAATGCCAGGAACAGGGTGGGGTTGTTGGGGGGTCTGTGCAGAGCTGAATGATCCCTGGGGGTCCCTTCCCACTCAGGATATTCCATCACTCTGTGATTTTTGCACCTAAAAATTGAAGCTCAAGGAGGAAAACCCCAAATCAAAGGACAGAGACTGGGAGCTCCTCTGAGCCTCCAGAGGATGAAGTGATGGAGGGGCACAGAGAGGAGCCCAGAGCTGACACAGTGCCAGAGGGATAACTGGGAATGCCTGGCAGGGAGCAGAGGCTGTACAAATCTAATTCCCATGTACAAATCCAGCTCCAATGCCTGAACTGCAGCCTGTGTATCAGCACACAGGAATTACAGGAGGTGAGTGTTTTGGCATTTCTTCTGACAACAAGAAACCAGGGATGTTGAAATCTGCCTCACTTCTAGCAGCTGTGTGGAGGAGGACAGAAATGAAATCACCCCCAAAAAAGCTGATAAAAATGAGAGGAAACAGCAGAACCACTGGATATAGAAATAGATGAATAAGCCAGTCGAATAAGCCATCCCAGTTGAATAAGCCAAAAGACTTCTTGATGTGCAAAGAACAGGAGCTTTTGCCTGGAGAATCCACTATTATAATTCTATTTATAACTATTAGATCTTGGGGCAGAGAACCGGAATGTGAGAAATATAAAAGATATACAGATGACAGTGAAGCAGCCAGTAATTAAAAAATTGATGGCTCAGAGCTCCCTTCTGGGGCTGGAAATGGACTCTGGGCTCTACACATTAGTATTAAAATATCATTTGTCATTGTGGTTAGCATTTACAGATATTGGTCTTTTTTGAATAATCCAAAAAAAAGTAGCTTAAGGTCTCCCTAAATTCTTATAGCAAACAGATGCAACAAAGTACCTGGAAATGGAATTATATTTTAAAGGTAAGCCCTGAGAAGTGTCTTTTTGTGCCCACAGGAGACAACTGGAACAAGAACCAGTAAGTGCCCCGACAGGATGTTGTTTTTCAATTCAGCCACTGAAAACTTGCACATTGACAGGGCAGTGAGAGACTGAGGGCTGCAGTGCGAAAAATAAAGTCCACATTTCTCTCCAGAGCAGCTGAAGCTGCCCAAGGGCAGGAACAGAGAGACTTGCTGTCATTTTCCTTGTCTCTGCTGGGGCTGACATCCCAACTTGTGTTGTTCCTCCCAGCTCTGATCTCTGCTGGGGAAAGCAGCAGCTCTGCAAATGCCTCAGGAAAGAAAGATTGACACAAGTCTGTGCTACCACAAAGCCTCTAATGAGGGACAGGAAACCTGAGTCCTGCTTGGAAGAGCTGCCCCAACCCCTGAAATGTCACTGCTGTGCAATGGAGCTGAGCTCAGAAGTTTTCGATCAGGGTGGGCAGGCCCTGGCACAGGGTGCCCAGAGCAGCTGTGGCTGCCCCTGGATCCCTGGCAGTGCCCAAGGCCAGGCTGGACAGGGCTGGGAGCCACCTGGAATAGTGGAAGGTTGTTGTTCACAATGTGAACTGGCAGCTTCCAAATTAATATATTTTTTAAAGACTTTTACCACGATTGCATTCCCACAAGAGTTACTAATACTTTATCACAAAGACAAGACTTTCTAAGTATAGAAACGACAGTAATAAAATTCTTAGATTTTCAGGTTTTCCAACTATCATTTCAGCAAATTGTAATGAAGAGCTGATGATTTCAGCTCTTACTTACAATACTCCAATGGTAATTCAACCAAAACCAACAATGGATATTGCTATTGCATTAGCAATGAATATAAATAAGCAAGTAGGATACTGAGAAATGCCTTTTAGGATTTTTAGCCCAGTGCCTAGTGTCCTTTCAATAAAACATGCTTTAAGAATTCTCTACAAATTCATTTCTCACATTAGTTGTCCCAGCTTCTTGCAGGAATTTGGACTGGATGGCCTTGAATGGCCCCTTCCAATCCAAACCATTCTGTGATTCCATGAGAAGGACTGGAAAAACTGCACAGTTTGTTCCACTAGGTTGTGATTTAACCCTTCCCAGCTCCAACCAAACACTCAGGGCAGCCTGAGGCCCCAGCTCCACAAGTTCATTTTGTTCTGTAACCCTGGGGAAATATTTTGAGCACAATCAGTGCTCAGTAATTTTGGTACTTTGGCCAAGCCCTCAGCTGGAATCAGCAGAAAACAGGTCAGGCTCTGCCCCTCCTTTCACTTTGCTCCACAGAGGAAACACCTTGAATTCAGCTGCCAACACCAAGTCCTTGTCCAGCCCAGCAGAGCCTGGTCTCATCAGCCTCCTCCCAGGGCTGCTCAATCACTAGTGGAAAAGCTGCTCATTGTTTTGGGCTGGGCTTTTTTGGTAGTGTTTTAATCATGACATTTGGTGCCAGCATCCATTATTTATTTTCAGGAGCACTGGAGCCACAGCTGTGAAACTCCAGGCTTTGTGATACAACATGGGAAATTCAATTTTTGCTGCTCCCAGGCAGCAGCTGCAAGTGAAGGGGATGCTGAAGTGTGTTTTAAAAACATGTTCACACATCCTGATCAATTTAGGCTCCCCATGGTGTGGCCAGCAGGTATAATACAGACAGCTGGGGATGAAGCAGGCAAAACCAGAGTAGAAAATCCACTACCACCTCACTGAAGCCACAGAAGTTGCTTTGAGCCATCTGAGAGGGACTCAGCAGCCTCAGCAGAGCACAGGGCAGCACCTCCAAGGTTCCTTAGCCACAGGACAGTTATTCAAGCAGGTGGCTCTCAGGAGATCTGGGGGACCCAGGGATTGCTGCTCCCCAAATCCACCTGGCCACACTGCCCAGCCAGAGTCACCCACACTGCTCAGGGAAAAAAGAGATTTACACCAGACAAGAGTGGCAATACTACCTAAAAAGCTGTCTCCAAAAAAGAAATAGGTACAAGATGCTTCAGCCTGTATCAAATCAGCTCTGTGAAGGACAGAAGCAACACAGCAGAGCCCAGAGCTGCAATTTCACAGCTCTGTGTTCAGGACAGGAGTTCACATCATGTCTTACATCACATGTGCCAATCCCAGCCTGTGTGCAAGACCTGCCAGTTTTATTGCACAGCTCAGGCTCTGGGCCCACCAAAACTGAGGGCACAGGCTCATGTCCTGCTTCCAGGCCTCAGCTCCTGGCAGTCAAATAAAAATAATTCCTCCTCCTCCTGCGCCACACTCTTCACATGGTTAAAATAAAGGAGGAAAAGCCAGAATAGGTGCCAAAAGATGTGTCTCCTCCAAATGCAGCTAAATTTCTGCAGTGTGAGGTTACAGCTAATGAGCAATTGACAAAAATGATGCCATAGAGAGCTGGTGTCTGGTCTGCACATAACCTAAATGCAGCATTGCTGGATTATGCCCTTTTCTGACTCAGAGATGGGGCAACTGAGAGACATTTGCAAAACTTTTGTTCTATTTTCAGTCTCGTGTGAAGGGTGAGACAATGCAGATGTTAAAATTCACTCCATCACAATTAGATGCCATAACCCAACTGCAGCATAGCTGAGGACAGCTTGGGTTGGCAATCAGCTGTCAGCAATCCTCCAGCTCCCCAGCACTGGGCTGTGCCCCCATGCCAGCCTGGGCACCTCTTCCACTGCTCTAGCCTGCCCTGCTGGGGTTTGAGCTGGAATTGGCACAGCCAGGCCTGGTGCTCAGTACAGAGCAGTGCTTGCACAACCACCAGGTGTAAATGCTGCTACTCACCCCTGGCTCGTGGGTCTGGGGGCAGCTCTGGGCTGAAGGTTCCTCTGGGGCCACCAGGCAGGCGTAGAGGGCCAAGCCTTCCTCTCTCCAGGCCTGCTGCAGCCCCACCACCTCAAATGGAGCTTTGGGGCCATCCTTCCTCTTCACAGGAGGCACCTGGAAATCCATTGGAACACAATTCCATTTTTAGATGGACTGAAAAAAACCCTTTATCTTGCTCTGTTGCTTTTGAGTAGAGCTCCACAACAACCCAGGGAGAACTCTGCTTTGATTAGTAGATTAGCTGTGGTTTAGCCAGTAGAAAAATCAATAAAGACCAAATTAAATAGGAATAACACATTGCTTTTGATAAGCCATAGGATTTATTTTCACAATGAGGACTTGCAAGCTCTGACTTCCACCAGTTTCACTGTGTGGAAGCAGGAATTCACATTATTTCTCTGGTCCAGCAGGGGTGAGCACAGAGCTCCTGCCAAGGCTGCCCAGAATGTTCCTGTCACAGCAGCACCCTGTGTGCCTCTACCAGTGACACTGAGATCAATCCAATCTCAGCTACAAATCAGTGCAGAGGGATGATGCCATGCCAAGGGCTGCTGCAGGCTTCCCTAAGAAGCCCAAACCCCAGCAATCCCCATCCTGTGAATCCCCTTTTAGTTGGGCTGAGGTGATTTCTTTTTCACAGATTTTTTTGTGCACGTGTATGTGGGAGGCAAACGTTCTATTTTCCATTTTACAGATCTGATTTAAACCAGAAAGAGTAAAAAATGACTTCTGCAGCCCCAAGACATAAATTATTATTGTGAATACCAGGGAGAAGGTTGCAGTAGGCACTTTAGGTTGCTCAAATAAAACATAATCCACTTCAACATGCAGAATACATGGAAATCTTGATCATAAGTTAGAAAAGAGAGAGGAGAGACACTTGAAACAGCTTGGGAAGGCACTGGGGTGCTGCAAACTGTCCAGGGCAGCGGGTGAAAAGGGGCAGAAAACTCTGGGAAAGCCAGACACAGAGAATCAGCAAAGCCAGGAGAAAGGAAAAGCAGAGGTACCTGATCCAGAACATGCCCTGGATGGAGAGAAAGACAAATCTGAACCACAGGACTGTAATTCCCTCCCAGGGCTGGTGGATATAGAAACTCCAGGTCTTGTTCTCCTGGTCTGTACCATCACCAGTCTCTAGGTGCATTATCAGCTCTATTTACTGCATTTACAGGGAGATAAAGGCCTTTAAAAACATGGCTTTAACAGAGGGCCAGGCTGGATTTTTCAAACTGCTGCACAGCTCAGTTGGATCACTCAAAACACCAGCACCAAGTCCTCCACTGGATGCCCATGGGGAATTCTGCACCATCCAGGGGACCACTGGCAGCATCCAGCACATCTCCAATGGAATCAGCAAGGATATGCTGATTAACAAAAGCCAGTCCATGGAATTACATTGATTACCAGGTGGGAATTTGGTTTAAAAATGCCTCAACATTTCCAATTCTTTCAGTGAAAGAAATGCAAACTTCTTCATTGCTATCCAACAGCCATTTCAGAGCCTGTGTAGAATAAATTGGTGGATTTTACCCCAGTTTTCCTTGGGCACAAAATCCACCTGAACACCTGAGCCTACACCCAGCAGAGTGACACAGCTCTGAAAGCTGAGGCACCCTTTCAGGCTCAGAGAGAACTGCTACAAGTCAGAGCTCAGTTGTTTTTTTTTAATGGGAATAACACAAGGGAAGAGAGCTCACACTGCAGCTGGTCACAAGCCAACGGGTCTGAATGGAAAATTCAGGATGCAGGGCTGTTCCAGTGGCAATTTTCATTAGCACTGAACTAACACTAAAGAATGTTAGCAATGTTTTAATGCAAGCAGGAATATCATTAACAATTAATTGTGTTTAAGTGGAGTTTAAGTGATTTAAAAGCCTGGCTGCTCAGGGTGAAATCTACCTTGACTGTGTGGATCAGTATTGGTATCCCAGAGTCTTCCCCAGGGAAAAGAATAAGGCCACTGAGCAGGGTGGGAAGGAAAAATATACATTGGGCAGGAAAAATACACAGTTTTCCCTAGGGAATAAAGGGTAATATGGATGGGAAGGAGAGGGGATGGGGTGGTTTCTTTAGAGGAGACAAACATGTGAACCAAAGGACACTTAAGGCAGCCCCTCACTTGTTCACAACTCTCTTGACTATCAGGAAGGGTCTGTTCTTATCTAGAACAGTGAAAACCAGGAACCTGTGTCCATTGCCAAGGACAAAGCCTAACACCCAGCAGTCACTTTCAACAACTCAAAATCTGGCTCAACAATTTTTCACTTCTTCATAAACTCCAGACACAACCCAGCTCCACTGACTCCAGTGAGGATTTTATTTACAGACTCTGAGATGAATTAAAACATAATTTCCACTTTGCTCAGCCACTGTTTTGTAGCTGTTGGGGGGAAACAAGGAGATTTCCAGAGTGATTATGTATTCACTGGAGGTCCAAACACAGCCCTCAGCACCCAGAGCCTTTAGTGCCAGGTCAGTGCACTCACCAGGGACAGCAGCCACGTCACGAGGGCCTGGTAGATGTTGGCTGCTCCCAGCACCTTGTCAGGCACCTGCCCCTCACACTGATCCGTGGCCACTTGGCCACAACTTGCCAGGCAAACAGTCAGCAGCAGCACCTCCTTTTTCACACTGCAGGATCCAGGCAACGTGTCAATAGCTGGCAAAAAAGAGGCTTCCTGTCCAAAAAAAGATAGTATGTAAATGAAAGTTACTTGGATTACTGGAAGTGTATTCATCATCAGGAATTAATTATATTCATTGCCATCACAGGAGGGGCATTTAACACCCAGAGAGCATTTCTCAAAGAGGGAGAATGAGCCATAAAAGCCAGGTTGTTCCCTCAGTGACACCTGCCTGAGCACTGCAGGTTTTCTTGGACAGCTGTCACCTGGGTCCTCATTTAGTCACACACTGCCTGGTGAATGGAAGGTTACACAGTCACAGCTGGAAAAGTGTGACTGAATTTATTCTGTATTCAAGACTCAGGGTTTGGGGCTATTTTTTTAATCACTGAAAAGCCCTCAAACAAGCCTGGTAGTGTGAAAACTCATTATTTTCTGCTTCACCTAACATCCCTCATTTCAGAGATGAGGTCACAGTTAAGGGAACTCACCTCCTTTCTTTACTTCAGCATTGATAGTTGGTTATTTAGGATGCAAATTCCCTCTCCTTTAAGAGAACTGTTTGAGACACAACCTCAGGCTTGAACTGTGGACTTGCAGATTTTGTCCTTCCACAGATGCTGCAGCTGTAATTATTGGCTGTCTTCTTCCCATCTATATTCAACTTGTTGCCCCTGACATTTCTTTGGTAAATTAACCAGCAAGTCCCTAAAATCCCACAGATTCTCCAGTAGTGGTCCTCAGCAGTTACCATCACAGAATCACAGAAAGTTCTGGCTTGGAAGGGGCCTTAAAACTCATCTGCCACCCCCTCCCACAGGCAGGGACAACTTCCACTGGACCAAGCTGCTCCAAGCCCCATCCAACCTGGCTCATGTTTTCAGTTGCTTCATGTAACCCATAATGAGGATTTCTGCCCACTCCTCTACACTGAATGAACCTTAATTTGATTTACCTGAATTTACTCTGAAAGCATACTAAGCTAAATCCAATTACAGTCACTTTAATTCTGAATTAAAATGTCCAAAAGTGTGTTTCACAACTAATCCACTTGACAAGTTAATGTAGCTTGACTTTTGTGCTGGTCCTCAGAACAGACAACTTCTTAAAATGGTTTAATAATGACTCAAACTAAAGCAGCTCTACTGTCACCCAGTGTTTTGGTACCAAATAAAACTGTAAATTAGTAATAAGGTAAAAACAGCCATGCAAACGTGTGATGCTGCAGATTTGTATTCATTCATGGTACTGGAATCCTGGGGTGCCAACAGAATTCCTCAGGGCTTTGAAATCCCCTGAGGAAGAGACCTTGAGAGAAATTCTGGGACCATGATGGAAAAGTGACCTTCCCCTATATCCTGTGCTGGAGAAAGGATTCTCCCCTCCTCCCTCAGCAAGGTGTGGGCATCAGTTTAAGAGCTAATGACAAACAGGAACTGTAGGTAATGTTTCAGCAGGAAATCTCCAACTCTTCCAAGCTTCCTTGGCCCACTGGGTTTTCTGACCAAAATCAGCTAAGTTCACTCATTAAGGTTCTTTCTGACTGAAGTTTTGGTGAAGGTTGGACCTTCCCTCTCCTCCCTCTGCCTGCCTCCTCACCCCAACAAGAATCTAAGTGTAGAACTTGAATAACTTCTGATATATTATAACTAAAGAACAAAAATGAGCTAATCCAGTTTAATTCTGGGCAAGAATAGCTGAAGAAAGATACAAATGGTGTTTCTGGGCATGGGCTCCCACAGCACTGCCCAGTTTACCCTGCAGAGGAGAGTTCAGTCTCTCCATGTTACACTGGCTTTTATTTGTGAAGTATTTGGTTATAAAAAACCTAAAATTACTCAAATGCTGGGCTATTTCTGGTTGCTCTGGCTGGAATTGTGCTGTCACTCAGAGATAGGCTTGCAGCTGATTGCAGTCAAGTGCCAACAATTACCAAAGAGTAAATAAGATAAAATGTCCTATTCCCAAATTCTTGCTATTTTATTTCGCAATTATAGTTTATGTCATTACAAGTTCCAGCCCTTCAGCTCAGTTTCCCAACCCCCTCCATCCCCAGATCTGGCCATTTTTATTCCACTCTCACATAACACCAGTGCAAGGAGGAGCAGCAACCACAGTGAAATATCCACGATAATCCCAAAGGAAGGTACTATTCATTAAAAACTCATTTTAAAAAGGGGCATTTTACCTCCATATTATTATTATTTTAAACCAGAACTGTTTATGATAACAGCAAGCCAAGGCCTGGTGGGCACAAGATTGCCAGCCAAGATTAAGATCATTTTATTTCTAATAAAATAGCTCAGAGTGGTTAATTGATGCTTTTGTTGATGTTTTTTAGAAGAGTAGTTAGCATTACTCTTCCTACACATCCATGTCAGATTGAACCAAGAGTTTCAAAGACTGGAAAACATTAATGCCAAAGGTGTGAGAGGCTGGAATGACCAAGTTCAGGAGCCAAGCAAGAACTTCACAAAGATTTTCCAGCAGAATCAACCCACTCAGTTTGAGGAGCTGCCCCAGTGGCAGGATAGGCCATGAAAAAAACCATCTTTTTACTTTAATAGATACAGTCTCTCCTTTTGAGGTAAATAAAACTTCAATATTTCCCTCCCAGCACCTTTTCCAACACTAACATGGAAGCATGTTCCATCCAAATACCCTCTGGACAGATTCTGCAGCAGCAAAATCTCCACCCAAACATCCCCTGTTTGGAAAAGGAAGAGAGGTTAAATTCACAAAATCTCCTCCTTCACCACAGAGGGGTGAGTGAGGGGCAAGGGGAGGAATAACAAGACTGTCACTCTCATTGGCTGGAGGTTTAATCAAAATAATTGTTTTCAGCCCTGTCTAAATTTATCCTCCTATGTCATCTGCACCCTAGCTTGGATCCCAGATTTAAGAGGCAATCCCTGATGAATGGCAAATTACTGACTGCAGAACTCTTTTGCCAAACCATGCATCTGCTGTGGGTTTGTAAATGTGAGCTGATTTCTGAGTGCTGGAGCAGCTCGAGCTCATTTCTCTAATGAACCTTCCCCTCTCATTGCACAGCTGCTCTGGCATGCCATGTTCTGCTCTGCCCTGTTCAGAGCTCGTGGTACAGGACATGACCATGATGATTGTGTGGTTATAGCCCCATTTTCCACACAGTCATGTGGGAAATGTAGGATTTTTAGGACACATTTAACAATTCTGGCCATCTAAGGCAAAGCAGATTATCACTATTCCACGGCTTCTAAAAATTCTTGCATTAGATGAAGACATATTGGAAATGTCAAGTGTTTGTTCATTTTCATTCTGTGGGGAAGGAAAAATGATGACAATGCCATCTGTTAGATGATTTGAAACTCTACATTAAAGCGTGGAATAAACCCTGAAACCATTCAAAAAACTGCTTTATCACTGCAAAGTGGGAGCAAGGGGTGAGAATGAGGAGAGGATCTGCAGTTCCTGCATGCAACTGGCAGAACACTCTGGAATTAGGAAGTTGACTTTTCCTGACAAAAAAGGAGAGTACAACTGATGTTTAATGGTCTTTCTGTAACTGCATTTCTGTACCAGAGTCACTTTGTGGCACCACTGCCTTTCTGAGCGTCATGCTGAGGTTATGGATCTGAAAAACATGATGGGGGCAAGGTGGCATTGAAATTTCTCAGGTGGATGAGGCTCAGATTGCCCAAATGGAGGAATTATGGTGCTCCAAAGCAGATAACTCTGCCAGGGGAGGCTGCAGGGATTCAGGGAGCTGTGTAATGGAGCATTATTTGCTCTGATCTCCATAGTTTTCAATTCACTTAGGGCACTCCAGATCATGAGAGTTTAAGTTAAAAATATAATAATAAACAAAATGTCTTTGCTGACAGTTTTCTTGCTCTGGACAATTATTCTTAGTCTTGGGCATGAAGAATAAAACCTCTTAACTGCACTAAGGGAATTCTCAGCTGCTTCACTGGTGTTAATGGCTCATCTATCAAAGATGTGGATAAACCCTCTTCCGTGAGAGAAAAGGATCTGGTCCATAGCATTTGTTAGCAGAGAGATGCTGTGGATCACACAGGGTCAAAATATTTTTGGTCCAAATTCAATGAGTTAAAAAAGCCATTCAAATAACCTGTAACAAACAGCTTTTTTTAAATATAATTTCTTCTTTATTTTTCAGAAGTGGGAAAATTTTCTTTAAAAGGCTCAGCTTAGGTAAACACTGACCTGAGAAGTGCATTAAAATTTAAACCAAAGCAACACTGAGTCTTATTTGAGTTTGTTTGCTTTCCAAGCCATAATCATTAAAAATGAGAAGTGCCTTTTCCATGATTGGTGTTTACACTCCAGTAACACTTGGAGAGGCTCAGAAGGATTCCCAGCCTCATTGTGCTGGTGTTCTGAGCACATGTAACAAAAAGTTCCTCCTCTAATGAGTTTATACTCCTGGTTAATGAGCAGCAGCTGAAATGAGTAAAGGAAGTTTAATTACTTACACATTTCATGTGAGCACAAGACTGGGAATGGGGAACTTGTGCCCCAGTCCTGGCTCTGGAATGAAGTATTTCTCTGTGGAACTGTAAAGTGAAGATAATATTTCCTTATCCTGGTCCCTGTCTAGCTGGATTAATTATCAAGACTCTGTAAAGTGCTCTGAAGAGGAAGAGTGTAAGATTATCAACAAACTTTCAAAATTAACCTCTGTTCCCTTTCCTAATCCTGACAGTGTTGTGGCCTCTCAGCCCCCTCAGTGTGATCCTATCTGCATCTTCCACTTGTCCTTCAAAGGATTCCAACCTGCTTCACACATGGAACGTGCCAGCCCTTCCAGACCCTCCCAGGGAAGGGAATTGCACATGCTCACTTGGAAATGCTGGGGCAGAGCAGGGAATTGGTCCTCAGGCATCTGAAATCTAGGCTGGCATTTGGCAGTGCTCCAAGCTGGGTTTAAATCCTATGGAAATGGCTCTGCTTGGATACTCCAGAGATTCCCAGGGGGTTGGAATGAGAGAATCTTTAAGGTCCCTTCCAACCCAAATCATTTGGGATTGGTTCTATGATTCACCATACAT